GTTTGCACCCCGTGGTTCAAATCTTGTGACATTTATTGTTACCACAGTGAAAATAAGAATAATTTGATTCCCCTATAGGGGAAATCATAGAGAAGGGGCTGGGGGTAGCTGGCACAGCATTTACACAAAGAAATTTCATATAAAGATTCCTTTTGAGAGAATGTAGGATAAAAATTAATATTGAAAATATAATGATAATATTAGTCCGTTCTTGTAGAGCGTGCATCACATTATAACATCCCTAAGCACTTCCAGAGAGCTTCAGACATTGTTACCCTAGCTTTAGCTCCGGCAGCCTTTATCAGTGCGTAGTGAATTTCAAGGAATTGATTCCTGCCAGGTACCCATTTACATCACCTGGATCGAGTGTGTCAAAAGTAGATTAATGTTTTGCCAAAAGACATTAGTGCCGCGGCGGGAGTCAAACAGCGGACCTTGCGATCCACAGTCCGGTGACATATCCACTCGACTACGACACCTCTATGAATGAATATGAAGAATAGTCCTATTGGACAAAAAAATTACAATTTGGTATAATACCAAATAACCAGCATTCGCTCATGATAAACTCCACCTATTCATGTATACGGAAGGTGTTCAATACGATGTTTGCAATTTTACATGGTCAAGTGATCATGATTCCCTGATGAATTTTCATTTGAAATGATTTTTAAACTTTCTCTTCACTTGAACGTTTTGTTACATGATTTTTGTTATATGATTTACGGTTTATATCATGTCATCTTATGATGCTTCACCCAAGCATGTTCAGATAAAAAGAAAAAAAATTGCGTTCCTATGGAATAACTTAACACTTTTTGTATAAGTTTTTGCTAGTCTGAAAAGGGTTCCATGCCTTTGGTATTAAAGACACAGCGTTTCCATCAGGAGGACCTCAGTCAGGAAGCGCATCGTAAAGGGATCGTGCCCTAGGAAATTGAGCGTTTCTTATTGGATTGTTAATCTCCGTGCACCATTTGCTGGCACAATCCTTGAGGTCCCCAAGGGTTTGGAGGGTTCAGAGAACAGTTGGGCTTGAGCCAGGAAGAGCTAGAAAAGAAATATGATATTAAAAATATTTTTAAAAGTGAAACTATTTTTGTTCACTTTGCCTGTCCATATTGATCAGAGGATACATGCTCCAGGGACCGTGCTCTGCAGTCAAGTTCTTACACTGAGTTTTAAAACTGAAGCCCCATACCCAATACTCTTACCGGGTATATGTAACACTGACCCTAAACCTTAGCCTGAACTTGACTTAACCCTATCAAAACCCTAACTCTAAACCTAAATCTCTGCTGATGTATTGTATAGCTTGGTGTAAATATCTCTGGATCAAATGGCAGCTTGCCTTATAATTTTGTCAACATAACTAAAGTCAAACCTGCTTTTGTGACCATTTGTATAGAAAGACCACATGTTTTGATTCAATTGAAAACTTCTTCTCACTGGAACCTACATGTACATGGAAAGTAACCTTTATAACCTTTACATGAAGACCACCTGCATAAAAAGGGGAATTTTCTTGTCTCCCTTGAGCGCTCTTTATATACAGGTTTCACTTTATAGATATACATGTACAGTACATAAATAAGAGATGTTCAAGAAAGAAAAATAATGTGTGTCAAAGAAGAGGCTGCCCTAAGGGAAATGGTTCTCCTTATACTAGGGAAGTGAACAGAGGGAAGCTGTTTTGTTTTGTTATGTTTTGTCTTGTTTTGGTATGCTCTAGTTGTGCCACTTTGGTGTCACTTTGTTATATTAAGTCATCTATTTTAAATCTTTGGCAAGGGATGAGCATCCGTTTTGTAGTTTTATGGAGGAGGAGATTGATACTTGGCGACATAATAGTGACAGTTATATTTCTGATCATCAATTTATGATCCCACTGTTTAGTAAATGATGACTTTGAAAGATTGATAACCCTCTTGGCTCACATTAGAAACAGTATGATATAATGATACAACATGACAGGAATTGACCTTGAAAATTGATGGTGTTCCATATAAAAAAGAGGAAGTTTTAGTCATAATTGAGATTTTTTTATCTTGTGACATATTTTGTGAAAATAATGAAATAATAAGCTCTCTTTAATAATTTTGTAAGGTCAGCAATCAGTGAGTTAGACAAATTTAGAAAATTTCTTGCCCAAGTAAAACTATGAATATATTAAAGGACATATGCAATCTACTTTGTATCAACAGTAAGAGCTTTTATGTAAGTACTGTACTTTTTGATAACTTAAAACTTGTAGAATATTCTAAAATATCAATCCCAGGGTACATTTGTTAATGAATGGCACAAGAATTACTGTCCCTTTGGCACAGTACCATTTAAGTTTCAAAACATTGTTAGTTTCATGAAATACATTACAATTTTTCTTGTTTTGATCATGAAAAAATCCTCATAAATGCACACTCGTGTATTTGTTGTTTGGAAAGTGTAATGGTCCATGACAAATCACTGTTTCGACAGTAATCAGAAAAACAATGACGAATGCATTAAAGGTCACAGTTCGTATTGTTGTGCAATTCTCTGACCTTTATCATCACCTTGCAGCCTTCATGTGTTATGAATAATATCGATAGCCCACAAAGGTCCTGAAAACCGATTCTCATTACATACTGTAGTCCCAGAGACATGGAATCAATTATAGATAGCAATGGTTTCTGCCTGTTCCAATACCCCCCAGGAAAGCCTCGCTGTCAGAATTGATATTTGCAGGCATTTTTTCCCACCCTTCTACCCCCTCCTTGCTCCCTTTTCTTTCCCCTTCTCTTCCCCCTCCCTTCCCCTTCTTTTTTCATTCTTCTCCAATTCCTTTTGTAAGCCACCTTCTGAGAGCTCAAAATGATATAGGTTAGATTATGATATTATATGAATAACAGACGAGTTAAGCTCGGCTTTACTCGAGATAAAAACCTTTTTATCAGCAATCTCTGTTCCAAATACTTTCAGTTGTGTCCACTCTATTCCTGTAATGAAGTAGTGGTTTCTCTTGTTAGGCCCTTACGTCATGTCGGGCGTCTGTGGTAGATCATTGCAAGATGATAACGGTGGGATTTTGAATTCCATACCAAATCTCTGTGGCATGGTTTCTGGCAAAATCAAGGGGAGGTTTGGTGAGAGATGCATGCTACATGAATCTCTTAATACATGTCTTTGCCAGTCCATACCCAGGTGTATACCATTCATTGAGAGCCAGAATAACATCAGCTCCTTGTGAAATGATATGAGGTGGAAAAGATATTTCTGGCTGAAGGCTGCTATTTAAAACCAGAAAAAAAAGACGTTTCATTGAGACTGCATGCTGTGTTTCCGGTTTTATGGTTTCAGCAGAGCATTCTTTTTATTATTCTGCTCCTTACGTGATGGTAACAATGTTACCATGCCTGTACGGTATAAAACATACGCAGAAGAGGAAGGAAAAATGTGTATTCCCCTTGATGTGGAGATGGTGCATATACAGTGCATCGTAGTGCTATAGCACGCTGTTTGCTGAAACTTTATATTATTCTGTTTTTCTTATCGTTCCCGTGAAAGTGGAAAGTAATCAAACTTCAAGTCCAGTTTTCTTTCATCTTTAGTTTAAGCTCTATGGCCTGTCCCAGGATAGCCAATTTCCGAGACCATTGCTCTATTCATGAAGCCATATTAAACATTCTTAAGGCACTTTAGTGACTTTGCAAAAACAGAGACAAACATCAACAAGCAAGGGTAACTTTAGAGACGTACTCCACCCTAACGAAACCGCCAGCTCCTATAGATAGCAGCCCAAAGAATCCCTCATCGCCTCATTTAGAAGCTAAGCTTTCATAACTGTGCTTCTGCCAACTCTCAAGGCATCACTCCTTTCTCTTTTCCTCCGCACTTCTGAACCAATGGGTATGTCTTTATCAGCTCGAGATTGCCAAATAGCCCGCTATTTCTGATTTGGGAAATAATCCAGAAGTTACAAATCGCGTCTTCATTAGCTTGAGCCTCGAAACTTGGAACTCGAGCTCGGGAAATTAGCTAGAGATAGTTTGCTCAGCGTTCGCGCTAGTGCAAGTCTTCGGGCTGTGGAAGACGCACCGGACAAATAGCGGGATATTTTGTAAACTAGCCCAAAATATCTTGGGATGATTATCTCAACCAAATATCCCAATAATTGCAACTTCAGGCTGATGAAGACACAAATTAACTGGATAATTTGCGATCGGGATACCGGTAGTTGAAATAAAGGAACATTTGGCAATCTCGAGCTGATGAGGACAGGCCTATTGTGGGAAACCGTCAAAAGCACCAGCCGTAAGGTGAGGTGAATTGGTGACTTCCTCTTCTCGTTAAAGACGTTGCGACAACGAGGGCAGTGACATGTGTAATTGAATTCATGTGATCCTTTCCTGTTCTCCGTTTCCAGTGCCTGGTGTGATTTGGGTGGTCCCAGCTGATCCTTCCCTGAATATGTGTTTTTGCTAGTCTGAAAGGGGGTCTATGCCTTTGGTATTAAAGACACAGCATTTCTAACACATATGTGAGGTCATGGTTTTAGCCCTTCTAAGGTCATTGTGAAAAGAAAAAAAAATTCTTTTAATTGGGATTTAATTGATACTTACCGAATAATCATTGAATCAGTTCAGTGAGCTTCAAAACTTGAGACCAGCTTCTGTTGGTACCATTGATCTCTCAATTTTGTTTCCAATATCCTTGCCATTTTGCCTTCAAACAAACTTGTTCTTTTCATTTAACTTTCTCCTTCCATATTCTTATGTCATGTTGTCATATCTATTTCAATGATAAACATGATATTTTTTTTCTTTCTTTGTGGTCATATTTTGCTTTCACCCATATAATGAGTGGTTGCACATGATCGTTTCCTCAGCTGTCTTACCTCCAGCTGTAATATCCTTTCCCTAAAAATAATGTCAACAGTTGAATCCTGCTATCATATGAACCGATGATTAGAATCTTGGATTTTTAATTTTCATTCTTGTCTTTTTTTTCTTCTTTTGCTTCAGGTGACAGGGTTGGCATTCTCAGAAGATGGGAGCTTCTTTGTCGCCGTGGGCAACCGATGCGTCAAGTTCTACTACCTCATGGGAAAGAGTAGGGTAAGTAAGGCCACTATGGAGAAGCAAAGTTTGATGTCGATATCATTCTCACTTTATTAACTTATGTGGAAGATGAGCAATATGTCTACACCCAGTAGATGAGCCAAGTGCTTGAAAGAGATTAATCTGGCAGATGAAACATGGTTATTCAATCAGTTTTATAAAGGTTTCATGTTCTTGACAAGAATATCTTTGATGAATGTTTACAAGCTTAATATTGTTTGATGTATGTTATTGGAGTGCACATACCGATTTCTTTCTTATTTCATTTTCTTTCTTCAATTTGCCTTCTTGTTGTCTTTATCGCTATCTCCTGTTTTGCATTACAACAAAACCATCGTTCATTTTGCTCTTATTTCTTTTTATTTGAACCCCTCCCTCTGTATCAATATACAACGTATTTATCATTTATGCATTCTCCTTCATAACCTCCTTCATAACCTCTTTCTAAATCCCTCCTCCAAATGTATCTTTATTCTTCACTTCTTTGGATATTTTCTACCCCCCCCCCCCCCACCTTTTATGCCAAAATTTATTTTTGTATTTCTTTGCCCTCATCTTATTTGGAAAGGAGCACTTCTAGGGAGATTCTGCAAATTTTGTATTTTCTGAAAGCCAACACCCCCCCCCCCCAATTTTGTAATATATTACTTGCTTTCAGTTTCATTGCATTTGTCCTACAAAAACTATTTCTGAACCCCCCCCCCCCCCTAAAAAAAAATATTAAAAAATGATGATAATAATAACAATCCTCTGATGTCAAAATGTTTACCTTTTTAACATTTAATATATCTTTGCATTCATATTACACCAGACGAGACAAATCCAAGCATTACCAGGAAGATCTGGCATCCTTGGTGAGCAGAGGAACAACTTCTTTGTCAGCGTGGCCTGCGGGAAGGGAGAGAACCGAGACAAGGTGTATGCCATCACGCGCTCAGGGTTTCTCTGTGAACTCAATAACAAGAGGCTCCTCGATAAGTGGGTCGAATTAAGAGTGAGTACCACCTAATTTACGAAGAAAGAAAGAAAGGATTATCTAATATTAATAATGATAAAGACTGGAGTTTGAAAAGCCCTCAATCTGTCATCATTATGTATTGTATTATTCTTGAAACTTTTAATGGCGACTTTTATAAACTCTGAACGTGAGCAGTTTGTTCTTAGAGCAACCTTGATACTAATATTCAGCTCATATTGCACATTATATATGCGTTGTTTATATTGTTTTAGTCTTTAGAAGCTCAAGTCTAGTTTGGTCCCTTCATTTTTCATTTTAGTTTGTCTTATCTATTTTTTTTTTTTGTTAATTTTGGAAATTATAGTTGTGATGACTGCAAGGGAAAATTATTGGGCTTTTTAAAAATTGTAATTTGTACCATGGTACATAATCACAGATTTCACAACCAACATAATCTTAATTCCCATCACCAGTTTGTATGATTTTTTAGAAAGCATTTTTCAATAATGCAGTTGGTTTATTGTTCTCAATCATCATCATTACATTTTTTTTCACACACATGCTTGCTTTTATACTTCATGCTTTTATAGACAACCGGTGCTCATTCCATAACCGCCGATGAGGAGTTTATCTTTGTTGCCTGTGATGGAGGAATCATCCGTCTGTTCTGCGCCTCCACCCTTCACTTCATCGCTACCCTACCCAAACCTCACTATCTAGGTGTCAACGTCAGTGCTGGAATTGATGCAAGGTACGTATGAATAGGAAGGAAGTCCTTCATTTATTGACCATTTAAAACAACAAAATATACAAAACATCAATACAATAGAAGAATAATATCAGAGAACAACAACATACAAACATGTAACCCGGAATATCAGCGCAAAATGCATGTCATGCAACTCTCCTACGACGTATCCATTTTCCTAACCTATTTCGTGTTTGGCAAATGCAGATTAATGTCTTGCCGCAATAATAATATTAATGATAATGATAATAATATTAATGATGGGTTCTTGTATAGCGCTCATGTCTGTCAGACTTGACACTCCCGACGCTGCACAATTATACCCCAGCTTTAGCATGGCTGCCATTATGGCGCTCCAGCATTTCAAGGAATTAATTCCTGCCAGGTAGCCATTTACCTCTCCTGAGTCAGGGGTGGCAAATGTAGATTAATGTCTTACCAAAGGACGTTAGTGCTGTGGTAGGGACTTGAACCCCGTACCTTGTGGTTCACAGTTCGGTGACTTATCCTCTAGACCACAACACCTCTACAAGACATTAGTAATTTGGCAGGTATCATATTGATTAATGATACACACAGGTAGTATGATCCGGGCCCCGTCTTGGAAAGAGTTGCGATTGATCTGAATCAATCACAAGTCCTCTAATCAACAACAAGTTTGCAGTCCCCTATCTCACATGTACATAGTTGGAATTGATGTCAATCACAAAGATGTTGCGATTAATCACAACTGTCTATAAGACGAGGCCCAGATTCATCAAAAAATGAAAATCCAGTAAGAAAATCCGATGCATTATTTCAAAAGTATTTGGATAAATTTAATCAAACGTACACTGAATATACTTAACATCCTTCCATTTTACAATCTGCACACATTAGTCTGATCCAAGTTTGTTTCAAATTTTGAGTTATGAACCATCAAAAGCGTCATTATCCTTTTGTTCCATCTCGTGTACTGATGAATTGTGTTTGATGAATTTACCTCCTTACAGCCACATGTCTGCACATCGAGACAATGCCCAGTATCCAGACGCCATTGCTCTCATGTTTGATAGCGAAAACAAAAAGGTAAGAAGAAATTACTCATTTAATGATATTTTCAATCAATATTCTACTCTAGGAGTGATGTCCCAGCAGGCAAGAGGCTGACTGAAGAAACTCCAGCCATTCTTTTGTACTTAGTAACAGAAGATATTTTAGATAATAAATATCTGCATGAACACTTGCTCCAAACCCACTATATCTTCTGTTTGTAGAAATGTAAAACAATACATTTTTATTCCATTTATACACACTTAGCCCTGTTACATGAGCCTCATCAGTTTACAGTGTAATTCATTCATTTTTGTCTTCTCAATTTGCAGCTGACGTGCGTGTACAACGACCACAGTCTCTACATCTGGGACATCCACGACGTGAAGAAGATCGGCAAGCAGTACTCCTTCCTCTACCACTCGGCCTGCATCTTTGGGGTGGAGACGTACCCGGAGCTGGCCGACGGGAACAGGGCCGCCCTCCCCGCCGGCTCCTTCTTCACCTGCTCCTCCGACGGGTCCATCCGGATCTGGAACATGGATCCCACCATGAACACCACCGTCCATAAACGCAATATCTACAGCCATGTGAGTCTATAGCAGAGGTCAAGGGTCATGTTTACGGTTGATTCCGTCACAAGCAGAAAGATGAGAGAAATAGGTTAATTTTGAGTCGTGAAATATCATATAAGTCAGAAGAAAGTTTTGGATCATTCAATATGGTAAATCACAAGTTGAAATTACTATTCTAAACAATGGAATGTTAAATTAACATGTGAATAATGTGACTTGCGAATTTAATCACGCTTTCTTCCTTGTAATACAAGTTCTTTAATTATATTTATGTTCCTACTTATAAATTGTATTGTTTTAACAGATGTCAAATATGTTGTCAAATTGAATGGAAGAAAATAAATGTTCAATTGAATTGAATTGAATTGTAATTGCTCAAATATCAAGTACTTGGTACTATGTCCCTTTTGCAGCCAACCTCAAATTCTGTAGAACTTTGCCGGGATTATGAATATGTCATGTATGTCCTATCTGTGAAATTTAAACGTTAGCAGTGTCCTAATATTCAAATCATGCAAGGAAACCTGTTTACTTGCTAGACTTCACTGTCAGACACTATTGAGTGACTGACTGGCTTATTTTCTTCTTTGGTAATAACATACATTAAATGGGCTGTAAAGGGTACATGAGCATTTGTCTACATCAATAACCCACTTCTTGTGATGGCCAAAACTAAACTGATTGAAGCTTTGCACAGCATAAAACGTATGGCCATTCGGTACAATGGTCTGAAAATCAAGACTACTACTTATTGGCTCTAAAGCTCCTAAGTCAATTTGACAACTGATAGTCGTTATTTTCTCACTTGAAGACATTTTCAAGCCCCACCTTTTTTAGGGAAGTTCTAAATTGCCATTGGAATTTAACCTTTTCATTTTTTGGGCCTGCAAATGGGACATAGCACCTTTAAAGAAATATTTACCTCATGAAATTGTTTAATTTTTCAAAGGTTCGACTCTAGTTCACCACATTCTCATACTAATCCCTCCCTAATATAGGAATTATTGAAGGTGCTCTACGTTGGTGAAGATTACATTGAGAGTCTACAGGATAGGGATATCCACACCTCGGCACAAGGGGACAAGACAGACATAGAGAAGGGCAAGTCTGGTATCAGATGTATGAGGGTCAGTCCTGACGGTCAGTCGCTAGCATCAGGTGACAGGTAAAATAGTCATTGTCATAGAAACTTTGTTAGTGGTCATCACACTAATTACTTAGTATGAGGGGGAGGGTGGGGGCAGTGTAGATCCTTAGACAGAAAAATTAACACACCAGCACAAAGGGACAAGATAGACCTAGAAAAGGGCACTTCTGGCATCAGGTGTATGAGGGTTAGTCCTGATTGACAGATGCTTATACCAGGTGGTAGATAAGGAGACATCTTCATAAGAACTGTTGTAGCTACATATACCATCACACTGTCACTAAAGTTCAGGTTAAGGGGAGGAGCTATGTAGGTTCTTCAACAGGGACTTCCACACCCTAGTACAAGGGGACAAGACTGACATAGAGCAGTCTGGCATCAGATGTATAAGGGTCAGTCCCTACGGACGGACACCTGCATCAGATAACAGGATAAGAGGATAAGGGCAGTCAAACAATCTTAATCCTCAGGTAAACTGTTTCACAATATGCATCTCATCAGACAAATCTCAGCAAGTTATTATTTTGTTACTGAACATTCTCGCTCATCTTTTGTATGTGTTAACCCATCTCCTTTTTGTCCATAGATCTGGTAATGTGAGAGTCCATGACTTACAGTTCTGGGATCAGGTCCATGAGATAGAGGCGCATGACTCTGAGGTTCTGTGTCTAGAATACACACAACCCAGCACTGGTAAGAACCACCTTCCCTTTGAATCTTATCCTAATTCTATAGCTTGACTTGCTCACGTGTTGTACTTTTCTTTTTTTGCATACAAGTATAGGCTTTAGATGCCAGCATTGGCACACAATATGTTAAGTGGTAAAGATGATTGAATACAATATACATGTACGTCGTATATCAAGCTACATGCATTTTTACATATATATATATTTGATTATGTATTGGCCCCCAAAACGGAAAAATTGCATGATGGAAAATTGTGAATTAAAGTCCTAGTTGATCTTGATCCCCCCCCCCCCTCTTTTTTTTATTAAAAAAATTATTGCCAAATGGTTACGGAAAGACCCTGCATAATGCTTTAAATGACAGAGGAAAGGTAGTATTATCATTATTAATTTTCAACATAGTCACAGTGAGATCTCATGTTTATCAATGTACCCCAAACTGAATGTAATAAATCATCCTCATCATTGTTTATTAAAGTCAGCATTTTCACTCTTATGAGGAGTTACTGACTCTTGCACCATGACGACACTTCCTCTCTCCACCTCTTGTTGTCTCCTCTTCATTCAGACCAACTTTACTCCTTTCGTTCTTCACCATATCTTTTCATGAAATCTTTGGTCTTCCTTTCCCTCTTATGTCATCCATTTCCAGATCCCATGCTTTTCTCACAGGTTCATCATCTTCCCTTCTCAACACATCACACATTCATCTCAATCCACTTCTCTTAATATAGTCAAACCTGCTTTAGTGACCACCTGTCTAAAAAAAAGACCACATTTTTTGTTTCTCATTCAAACATGTACTAAAGGAACCTGTCTACAATGACCACTTTTTGTGTTTCCTTAGGCGGTCGCTATAAACAGGTTTGACTGTACCACTTCCACCACAGTGCCTTCCTGACCCATCCTTTTCATGAGCTCCCTTGTGTTCTTTCTATCGGTCATTTTCGCACCACACATCTTCCGTATCATGCACATTGTATCTATTGCTTGATTCTACAGAGTACAATTCTCTAGCCTCTGCAAGTCGAGACAAACACATGAACAAGAACTGTTCCCTGGTCCAGACCTTGGATGACCATTCCTTTCTATCTGACTGTTTCACATCACGCATCTTCCGTATCATCATACACATTGTATCTATTGTTTGACCCTACAGGGATTAATCTTCTAGCCTCTGCAAGCAGAGACCGGCTGATCCATGTGTTTGACATGGACAAAAACCATTCTCTGGTCCAAACCTTGGATGACCTTTCCTTTCTATCGGACAGTTTCATACCACGTATCTTGCGTATCATCATGCACATTGTATCTATTGTTTGCCTCTACAGGTATTAATCTTCTAGCCTCTGCAAGCAGAGACAGACTGATCCACGTGTTTGACATGGACAAAAACCATTCTCTGGTCCAAACCTTGGATGACCTTTCCTTTCTATCGGACAGTTTCATACCACGTATCTTGCGTATCATCATGCACATTGTATCTATTGTTTGCCTCTACAGGTATTAATCTTCTAGCCTCTGCAAGCAGAGACAGACTGATCCACGTGTTTGACATGGACAAGAACTGTTCTCTGGTCCAGACCTTGGATGACCATTCCTCTTCCATTACATCGGTCAAGTTCAACAGTAAGTACCATCAGCTATAATTAGGAATACCTTTATAGGGTACAGGGAGAAGGACTGTCTTTCCCCAAAGATTTTGATTTAATGTGTAAATGGTATTTAAATAATAATAGCAATAGTGGGTGCCATTATGGTGCTCTAGCATTTTGAGGAAATAATTCCTGCCAGGTACCAACTTACCTCTTTTTGGTCGACTGTGGCAAATGTAGATTACTGTCTTGCCAAAGGACATTAGTGCCGCTGCAGGACTCAAACCGTAAACAGATAAATCAGACATTGATCATGTTTATGCTTTCTGCACTTTGATTCACGTCTGTCTAAGATGTATTAAAAGAACAATCCTTTTATACGCTATTTTAAAGGAAAACACTTCCTTTCATTTTTCCTTGTGAACAAAGAAATCATGCCTTAAAATGGGAAACTAAATGACCAGTCATTTTGCTATTTTCATTAACATTGAATCATAGTTTCAAATTTACATTTTGTGAATTCATCTTTTCTCATTCATTATGTCCCTTTTCAACTGTTTTTTGCATGATGTCTGTTGGAACTTTTATGCTATACTTTTATGACCATATTCCATGTGGTCCATTTTACAGCATCCACTTTAAACAAGGTTTATTTTGCTCAACAAATTCCCATGTCACCGCTTCACACAATGCCCCATCTCTCCTTCAAATCACCTTTATCTATTTCCCTCGTATCCAGGAAACGGAGAGCAGCTACAGATGATCAGCTGTGGGGCAGACAAGGCCCTCATGTTCAGGATAGCGGTGTACAACCCTGATCTCCAGTTTGTGCGCAACCACCATGTGGTCAACAAGACAACGCTCTACGACCTGGCCATCGACACCACACAGAAGTACATCACCACGGCATGCCAAGATAGGAATCTCAGGTAAGGTATCTGCAAAGATGGAGAAGCATGTTTATACAGTGAAACCTGTATAGAAAAACCACTCAAGGGAAACACACAAAAATGTGGTCTTTATAGGCAGATGGTCTTTATACACAGGTTCCCTTTAATGTTTCAATGAGAAGCATCATTCAAGAGAAACAAAAATGTTGGTCTTTATAGACAGGTGGTCTTTCTATACAGGTGGTCTCTAAAGCAGGTTTGACTGTACTTGTTCCAAAGTCAAGAGTATATGTGTGGGTCAAGCCAAGCAGTGGTTCTTCAAGATTATCATTTTCTTGGCAACAATATAGAATTTATTGTGAACAGGATCCTGTTACATTATGGCATCCTTGATGAACAGGCCTCTGTTTATTGTAGACACTGTAAGTGTTTGTTTAAGTGGTCTTTATGGAGATGAGACTATAGTAAAAATAAAATATTTAAAGTTTTCTGTATAAATTTTCTATAGCCACTTTCAAGAAGGACAGAAAGTACCAGTCTATGCTTGACATGTAGCTATAATTGAAGAAGTAAATTTTTGGCAACTCAATTTCTATGTGTGAAATTATACACTCTAGCTGTCCAACTTGATAGATTAGACAGATTGTTGTCATCTTACAAACTATGATTCTATTTCGTGTCAATACAGGATATACAACATAGTGAGTGGTAAACTGAAGAGGACCTACAAGGGTACCCAGAGTGATGAGGGTACCCTGATCAGGGTGGAGCTGGACCCGTCTGGGATTTACGCAGCCACCAGCTGTTCGGACAAGACTCTCAATATCTATGACTTCTACTCAGGGGAGTGTGTAGCGACCATGATGGGCCATTCAGGTAAGAGTATATCCTGTTACTAGCGTGTAGCATGTAGTTTTGGTAGAAGAGGTCTATGGGTTCAGAAGGTAGACCTTAATCAGGGTCGGTCGGACCCGTCTGTGATCTACGCAGCCACCAGCTGCTCGGACAAGACTCTCAATATCTATGACTTCTACTCAGGGGAGTGTGTGGCAACCATGATGGGCCATTCAGGTAAGAGTACCTCCTGTTTGTTACTAGCCTGTAGCTTGTGATTTTGATAGAACAGGTCTATGTGTTCAGAAGGTAGACCTTGATCAGGGTTGGGTTGGACCCTTCTGGGATCTACGCAGCGACCAGCTGTTCAGACAAAACTCTCAATATCTATGATGTTTACTACTTCAGGTGTGAGTTCATATTGTTATTAGCTTTTAATCATGAGAGAATAGCTTAGTTAGCTCAATTAGTAGAGCCCAACAAGGATTGAGTTGGACTCATCTTATGAATTCTTCTCTTTGAGTTGAGTGGCCACTATTCTGGTGAGAGGTTGTGAAGTCTCTACCTGTTCTTCCTGAGGATGATGGTATTTAGCTCATTACTTTGGGTCCTCAGATATACATACAGAGCCAAAAGCTACTCAGACAAGAGCCACATGAATTAAGTCTTCTACCCATGGAAGTGTACGGCCACTGTGATGGGGTTCTTGGGTCAGTCTATTTCAACCTTTTTTATTTATATTTTCAAAAGAGGACAAGAGTTTGCTTTAGTTGGAAGAGCATCTACCTCTCAGAAGATAAATGATTGGTTGGTTGGTTGGGACACACCTTGAGCAGGAAGCCTTGGCTCTGCGAAAACGTGACCTTTCTTTATCTCCTGATACATGTCAAGGAAACACACTCTGATAGGACAGGAAATTAGATGGAGATCCTGTTTTGGGGACAGCAACAACCTACGCAGAACCTCTGCACTTTCATTTCACTCTGCACCATTGATGAGATAAGTCTCAGTCTGCTAACAACACAATTCCTTCAATTTCTTTGTATAGGAAAGCAACAATCTACAGCATGTCTGTTATGAACCTCTTCACTTTGTTTTGTCCTCTGTCTGTGATAGCATAAGTTTTAGTCTGCTGACTGTTCAATTTATGTTCTTTGTATCATTTGTATATATTCTACAGAATTGGTAACGGGAATCAAATTCACCAGTGATTGCAAGCAGCTGATTTCAGTTTCTGGAGATGGGTAAGTTCAATTCTCTTTACTTCCATTCCTTTCTTTTGGATCAAAATCAACATATCAACCTTCCTTGACCACCTCTCGACATTTTATACTTGAATTTGTTGTATGCAAACATATAAGATAAAAGTTTTTCATGTAATAAAAAGGAATCCAAGTTTGTATTATTTTGATGAGCAGAATGAACAAAATATCAGATGACTTTTAGCTTGATTGTGGAATTTCATGATAGTTTTGTTTGTTTGCAACTTGTCATAAGTTATGTGTAGTTTGAATACTCCTAAAATGTATTATTTAAAACTAAGATTATTGTAAACAACAAAGCCTAATACAGACTTTCCCATTGTTGTCTTATGTCATTTCTCACATTTAACGGTTTGTTTATCTGTATACGTGACATATTTGTAATGATTTGTATTTGTTTTGTATATTTTGTATTTTTTATTGTATTTTGAAATGAATAAATGAACAAATGAACATTATTTGATAATGGATTTCCTGAGGACAGCTTCTTTTAAGCAGTATTTTGGGAGAAAAGAACAATAACATTAAACATCTTTCTTCTTTTTTTCTTGTTGTAACAGATGTATTTTCATTTGGAAGCTTCCATGGGAGCTCACTCATAACATGAAGGAGAGACTGAAAGAGATGGGAGAGAAAATTGTTGAACCAACACCAGAATACAACATGTTGAGGTAATAGCAAACCCCTAGGCCCCATTTCACAAAACTTGTCATCAGTGACAAATGACAGTTTTTGTTAAAAGCTAGTGAAATCCTTGCTTCTGATAGGTTATCAGCAGATTTGTCACTGATTTTTGTCATTTGTCATTAAAAAAGGCTTTGTGAAACGGGTCCCAGAGTGCTCATGTTTTTAATCTTTTGTTGTGAGAAAAGTGCATTGGTTTCGGTTTCACTTTCAGTATTAAATACATGTATATAATTAGGAATCATTTCCTTTTGAGGTGAAACGGAAATATGGAGTCATGTGAATCACCATCATCATCATAGTAATAGGGAAGTTTTTTGTTTACTCAAGTTTCATTATCTTAATTCTGTAAATTGCTGTAGACTATTTGCATGTTAAACACAGGTGCCACTCCTCAATACTCGTGTTTGCCTTCTAGTGATGATCAAATATTAATGTTTGTTTGATACTTCTGTATTGCAGCATATCATTTTCATACAAGTTTTGGTAAGAGATCAAAGTTCATTCATTCATTCAACATGACTCCAGGCTTTATTTTGTCCACAAAAAAAGGGTAAGGCCTTGGGCTGCAATTTTGTTTTTAAGTCATCTTTATTTCAGTGGAAGAAAATCAAAGGAGGTAGTGTAAGGATTTATCTGCAGAGCAATTGTTGCTTGTTCACGTGTTGGACAACCATTGCTTTATGTCTGGTGTTCTGTTCTGATGTCTTTGCAGAAGAGGAACCTACGTCGTTCCCCCTGAGCTTCCCCCAGAACCCAAGGCCCAGGTGATCAGCGCGTGGCAGACCAAGCCGGCCGTAGCAGCTGAATTCCAGCCAGCCATGCAGTCCGGACCGGACACAGAAGACGAGACCGAGGATAGAGAACCGGATGAAGGCAAGCGTAAATTTTAAAAGTTTTATCTTATCTTCGCAAGTCATGAAGTAGTATTGATGTGTGGTATGCATAGAGTAGTACAAGAAAGCAGAATGTGGATGGGTAAATGGGATTCCAGTGCATGCCAGACCATGAAGCTGAATTCCAGCTTGACATGCAGTCCAGACCTGGGGCTCGTTTCATAAAACTTTTTATCAATAACAAATGCTAAATTTCTATGACAAATTTGCTCTCGGCCAATCACATGCCATGATTTCAGTAGCTTATAACAGTAGCTTGTAACTTGTGATTGAGATCAAGTTTTATGAAACAGGGTCCAGATACAGAGGACGATACTGATGATAGAGAACCTGTCCTTCGTCCTTTGACGTTCCCAAACCATGAGGGAATGGTGATAGCGTAGATGTGTAGTTGATTAGAAAGAGTAGTACAAGAAAGAAGAACGAATATTGGTGTTGGGTTTTCAGTGCATAGCAAATCAAACCAATTATAGCAGCTGAATTCCAGTCATGCAGTCCAGAGCTGAAACTCAAGATGAATGAGTCTGATAATAACGCGATGAAGGCAATTGCTGTTCAACCCTTGGTCCTTCCCAAGCCATATTAAACATGATATTGCGGCGTTGATGTGTGGTATGCACAGAGTAGTACAGGGATGAAGATTGGACAGGGGTTGTAGGAATCAGTGCGTGCCAGACTATGCATCTGAATTCCAGCGTGCCATGCAAATGAGACCTGACACCGAGGATGAGGACTGGTAGAGAACCAGAGAAAGGCAATCAATCCTTTCCCTTTCTAAGCAATGATGTAGTATTGATAACATTGATGTATGCATAGAGTTCATAGCATAAGCTAATAACTTTAACTCTTACTTTTAGTATGTACTGTAAGAAGTGGACTGAGGATGGAAAAGTATGGTGGAGAATTTAAATATTTCATGAAACAAATGAGAACACAAGCTGTGAATTCTAATGATTCTTTTAACATGATTTCAGTTTATTTAGTTCTTTACTTCATCCTTAGTGGGACTGCAATAATATCCACCTTTTCACTCGTCAAAATAGATGTGTTTATTTTTTTTTTCTTCCAGATTCCATGCCTGAAGAATGTAACTTTGAATCAGGTCCTCTACCACTCTGGGCGCGGAAGCAAGGCAAAAAAGTAAGAAAATCTTTTACATGTTTTTTTGCTTTTTTTCCTTCTGTAGTTTGTAATCATTTTGCAATACATGTTCATGTTCAAAGTATCCCGTACTACGTTTCATGCAATTATTTTGCTTGAAGTTTGTGTTCTTACAGAGGTTTTACAGCTTATTCTTGACTGCATAAACATGAGTTGAAAGCCTTTAAAAATACCATGGTATAAAGCGTGTACTTTTTCATTCTGTCTCTAAATACAAATGCAGTTCCTCTAAAAAATTCCTACATGTTCTTAAGTGCTATCTATACTTAATTTTTTCTTTCTGTTGCAGATTCAATCATTGTATCCTGTAAATATTACCCTCAAAATTGTCATTTATGATATTACCTGTATTGTTTCCCCTCCTGCCAGGGTGATGAAATACCAGAGGTGTCCAGCCCTACCAAGTACAGCAGCCCTACCCATCCCAGAGGGAGGTGGGCCCAGAACATCAACAGCGGGGGTATAAAGGTCAAGTCACAGATGGAAGATCAAAGCATCAATCAAAGCATCGAACTTAGAATGGAAGATTGCCTTGGTGAGGCAGCCATTTTTAATTTTTAATGATTCATTTGAAAACGTATTAATCATCCCTGCTACTGTGTATCTGCAAGTTTTATTGTTTTTTTGTAAACACAAAACTGGTTTAATTTCTTGACTCAAATGTAATCTTGAAAAATCAAGCAATGTTAATCCTTGTATATGTTTAGAAAAGAATTAAAATGAATGAGGTTCTTCTAGTTAAATTGCATTTTATAATAAATACTTGAACATCATTCAGGATTGTCGATCTTGTAGTAAAGGAGAATTCTTACATATCATTTTTTTTTTTTTTTTTAAAGAAGCAAATTCTAATGCAATCAGGGATCATTACTTGAACTTGCATACCTTGAAGTACAAAATCACAAATAAGCGGGAATGTGGGAATATTTCTTCAAATTGACAGAAAAGCCTGTTTCAAGAGTACAATTTCCAGAGTAATCTTTGGTAATTGGAGTTATTAAGGGAAATATTCTTTCATATAGAAGCGCTGCTCATGATGGCAGTCTCCTGCATTCACAAATTCTGTTAATTGTAAAATGTAAATCTCCCATATGTGTATTTTCTTTATGTGTTCAAAAGTAAATAAGCCAGTTCACGGTTGCAGTCTGAGCATGAGCAGATAAAGGTCATTGCAGAACAAATTTTGAAATAAACGGAGACGAAATACTGGATACATGCTCATGAAAGTTATGTAATCATTATTCATTTATGCACATTCAGTGCACTCCATGATACACAGGTGGAAGTATTCTTTGAAAAGGGGAAACAAGGGCTATTTATATAGCACCTCCATCGCTACATAGGAGTGATTATTTCAAAATGTACAAAGTGGGACCTCTTCATGTTTTGAAGATCTGTGGATATTCGGGGTCATTGCAGTAATGTGCTAACCGTGGACTGGTGTATTGTGAATGTCTGAAAATGTATTTATGTACTTTTTTTTGTATTATTAAGTTGTTTTGTTATTTTTGTATCACGTTTTTGAAAGCAGAAATTAACTTTCAATCAAACAAACAGACAAACAAATGGAAGAAAAAGTTCATAGCAATAGATATTGTGCCCGTATACAATTTGTTTCTATCGTTATGGAAAAACTCTTGCTCTAATACACGTTATCCTCTATCTAAATTCTCCTTTTCAGATCGACGGCGCTACACAGTGGAGCCCGATGTCCTTTTAGAGCAAGTAAGATCTTTTGCCAATCGTTGTCGAGTAAGTACTTCTCTTTCAGATTTTCCCCTCCGTTGAGAGCAAAACTACCATCTGGCATAACGCCGCATGCCGCACCTCGCCGCCTCATGATTCACAAAGTCGCCATGGAAACAAATAACTCATCTAAACAAACACAAATAAAGCATGGATGTGGGTTCTCATGGTTTTCCATGTCTAACAAAGACTATGGTAGTGTATAACAATGTTGTAAGTATCGAAATTAACAAGAGTGTAGTTTATTGTTTTAGTTAGTAACATATTGTATGATTTCAGTTTTAGTTCATTTGTTTTCTGTTTTGGATTGATTCTTCTATTTTTTTAGTTTAGAAAAAATGTTATCAAAGAAAAATCAATTGAATTACATTTAGGATAGGTTTTTAAACTTCTTACAGAGAAGATGTATACACATAAAATGCTATACCATATCCAACAAAATTTTCCCTTCAAATTTTCATTTGATGCTCTTCACGTGATTGAAGAAAGTTTAAAGCTTATCTGTACTAGTTTATAGGAGGGATTAGAGCACCCTGCAAGGTCACTGGACAGTTGGTTATCTCATCAAGTCAGCTCTCAATTAACATATTAACATAAGAAAAAGAGGATCATGGGGGACCAATGGTCACCGATTAGGCACTGTTTTCTATATAGAGGGAGCAAGTAGCTATAAGTAGTGCCGTGGGGGTTTAACATATTTCCAAATTCTTGCTACTTCCTTTAGCTAGAAGATACGGTTTTGTATTTCTTTCAAATTTGTTAATATGTATTTCAAAAAGAGATAATTCAGAATTCAATGACCAGAAATAATCCAAGGAATATCAATCCTACTTAATGATAATTTCTATTTTAAAGATCATGACAATTTGTGAATCACACTGCATTCAAAACAATTATCACTATAACAAAAAGTATATATATGTACATGTAATAATAACAATAATATTGGGAATTTCTATAGCGACGTCTATCTAGAAATTCTATTCCGAGGCGCTTTTATTATTACCTCTTATTAATATATAAATGAATATTGCATTTGCTATGGTTTTTTAAAACCCCTTTGTTGAATTATGTATTATGTACCAAGTGTTTGTCAATTCAAATCCACCATATTTTGCTGCATATTCCAGTTGTGGCAATATATTTGTTATATAGTTTAGGCTTTAGATTTGAGTTGTTTTTGACCTGCAGAATTTGTATGATTACTCCCCTTTTTTTTCAAAGGCAAAATCCAAACGTGCCCTAGACGACGTCATAGAGGTATCAGTAGTGTCCTATTTTAAAGCCATCCTGCTCGCATGTCTTCATTGTTAAAATTGTCTTTTTGTGTTGTTCCATCCCTCCCTCCTTCCCTCCCGATTCCTAAAAAAGAAACGGTTAATGCCAGGACGGCCGAGGCTAAAAGTGGGTAACCTGACCCTTTAAAGAACACAAAAGTTTTGCAAAATTTGATGTGTTTGATGTGAATTTTTTTTTTTAATTACTCTATCTGCCATTAATACTACAATTTCCAGCTCCACCCCCTTTTTCTCTGTAGTGCCCTGTCCACTTGTTGTACACGCTTTATGTTATTTTCTTCAAATTTTGAAAATCATTCAGAATCATCAGAAATTCAGTGATACAGATATTTTGTATGAATACATGTTTTTTTCATTCTGTCAGCATGATTCTTTTTCACAATCATATTATTCCGATCATTCAAATGATCAGATTACAGTTTTTTTCCTAATATCTACATTTATATGTTGTGTGTTGACATAATAAAAAGATATCAACCCAGTGTTGGGGTTGATCGCAATTTCTGCTTGCTTGCACTTTGATGAAACGCTCTCTCGTTTGCATTGTTGCTATGACCCTCAATTTCCTTTCTTTCCAATTAAAAAGAATATATTGCTGAAAAAGCTGCTCCAAGCTAAAATGGCAAGTATCGTTGTGCCTAACTTTTGTCCTGGCTTTATACTCCTTTAACTCAACTCCGTACTCAATTGCTACTATTGACCTCAATATCCCCATATATGGGTTGTATAATGTGTAGATATATAATCATATAATTGAAACCTAACCAAAACAAGACAGATCAAACTTTGTTAAATCTGCTTGATCCATCCATGAATACCAAGCCATCGATACCATTTGAATTTCACAAAAACATTGGTCCTTCTGTATCCATTAAAATATACATTTCAAGTAATTAAATTGATAATCATTATTAGGGTTTCAAACATGGGTCAATGGGTTATAGATATTGTGTTATGACAGGTTTAAGATAGAAAACTCATACAAAGGAAGGCTAAAAAACAAAAGAAGTCTAATTTTCCATCTCTCTTAGGATAAAGTCAAATACAGAAATAATTTCAGTAACACAGATGAGACCAGAATCAGCATACCAATAAACATTTTGTCACTATGTGCTCGTTATTGAAAGTGTACTCATTATTACAAATTGTTATTAAAAAAAAACTCATTATCCTCATTACACACAACTGTATTTGTTCTTGTAAAACTGTTCCATCAATTGTCATATATATTTGTATAATTAACATTAACAGATGTACATTTTTTAATTTATTTAGGGCGGGTGCTAGAAAAACAGCAATTTAATGGGAAATCGTATTACAAATTTACAATCCTAATAATTAATCTCATATTTAAAATCACAGACTTCATTTTCAACCCTCACGATGACATGTAAAAGCATTATTTCCTGCCATAGTATAATATAGAACAATATACCTTTTCCATTAATTGAAAGCATTCACTCTGTATTGTATGAGGTTTGTGAGGTTGATGTTGACAAATCTTATCCACTGATAAATGTTAGTGTGTAATTGAACTTATTTTTGCTAACTTTTTGTGTGCACCACTAATAACTAAGAACGATTTCTATAAACTTGACAAGCACCACTTACAATAGAAAAACTAATTTGTGTGAATTTCACTGTACATTTCATTTCTTTGTATTTTCTCGTAGCAACTTACTAAAGAACACATTATTATTCTTAGCCATATATATCTGTAGACATTATTGAATAAATGTATCTTCGCTAATCATGCATGCATTCTTCATTCAAACTTTACCAGTACTTTTTCATATTCTTGTATATATCACTTAAATTATAATATGACATTTACTGAATGTTTTATAGTTTTAGATGAATTAAAGCAATTAAAGCTACTTAATGATTTGGAATATATGTAAATGTGATCATACTTTTCAACTTGAGTAGTAGTAAAGAGCATATGTTTTGAAAGACTGTAAAAAAACTCCTTTGGAAGATGAAGCCATTGTAATTCCAATTCATGTGCTAAATCTATCTTCTTTCTAATTGTTTCTTGGATAATAACAAAAAAAAAATAGATTTTCTGCTTGATATCGTCTGAAACCATACATGTATGATTTGAGGAAGCTATGTTTACATCTCTTAGAAGATTTACAATTGATATACATATACCTTTTCAGGAATCTGCATCTGAATGATGTAGCACAGATCTAAAACCATTGAAATTAATTCCTGAGAAAAACCTCAGGCTGGGTTCTATGGAAAGTGCATTTTATACCAATATCAATTAAGGTCAAACAGGTTACAACACCTTCATCTGAAATACAAATTTATTAAAAAAACCTCTACCAACCAAGCATTTATGAAGAGAACTTACACAACGTGATGATAACATTTCATGAATATTTCTTCCTCATATTTTAGCGCGATCATAATTTAAATTACTTATTTATTTTTTACCCAGGGTCCTTTCGCTGGTATGGATTCTGAGGAAGTGAGTATAGCCATTTTAAAAAGAAATTGAATTTTATGATTATTTTGTTGTTTGTTTTGTATGCATTTATTCTTGTATGTTTAACATTTTCTTGTTTATTATTTACATACGGTTGATAATGAGTTAGTAAGTCCGAACAAAGGGACTTCACCATTTTTGAGAAAGGCCAGAGCACTTCACATTTCAGAACAATACATTTTTCAAGACAAAATTTATTGATCTATTTCTCTATATACCAAGGGTACCAAAAAGTCTTTTTGGTACCCTTTCTTCAAATTGTTTTTAATCACCCATGCGTGAAGTACATGTATGTACCAAATGAGTTGCATCAAATCAAAGAGGAGGATCTAACCTTTACAAATATGTGTCATTTATTAATTATAATTGTGATTAAGTTATGATAAACATCAATAATTCTCGGTTTCGTTTTTTCTGGGACGCGTTGTATATACAAATTATGCATGCACATGATTTCATTATACAATCTATGCGCATTCCTGTTGGGGCTGTGCGCATCTATCTTATGTAGACGTCAGACTGAAGGTTCAATGTTGCTGTTCTTTCTTTCTAGATTGCCAAGATTTGTGGAGAGGACTTTGTTCCCGCCACACAGAAGTTTGGACTGCTTTCACAGGAGGAGTTTGAGGAATCTGAGAAGGTAATTTGGACTTACATGGTATTTCTTTTTCTTTCAGAGTTTTACTATGATGATATATTTCCCATCCAGTTGTTTAGAACGAAATCAGGAAAGTAAAAAAAAAAATTCTGATAAAAGTTGTAGGGAAGGCAGTCGTAGGATAACAAGTTAACATTTGGATGTATAGACTTCCAAAATAAGTGATTTAACAATCAGTTTTTTAGTATGAATGCCATATTTTTTAAACCAATTTTTTCCTACTCTGCATATGGTTTGTATTTGAAATGACTAACTTCATAAATTTTCTAAAATTCCATGCAACACGAGACTTTTATAGCGATTAACCTGGAGCAATTTTATGGGGTTATATGGGCTGCTGTATAAAGAATCTGAAAGTGCATTTATTTCATTTTTGGGTGGTCCTTAAAGGAGTAAAATCCTCTTTCATGGTCATCGAATTGTTCTCAATAACCTAAACTTATCCTTTCCTTTAATCGTGGTCTTCAGATGGATGGCTTTGTGACAACCTCAAGAGGGAGCGATCCGAGGGGAAGCGACCCTTTTGGTCCTCCAGCGTCCCTCCGAGCTTCCGCCTCTGACACCCCCGATGGAGCTAATGGAACAGGCCATCCCAATGCAGCTGAGAATGGGGATGGTACCAAAGTGGATGACATTGAGGGGGATGATGAAGAGGAGGAAGAGGAGGAGGAGGAAGAGGAAGAGAAGGAGGATGATGCCCCGGCTAAGGAGATGATCTTCTACCCACCAGAAGAGGAGGAGTCTTCATCTCCAGAAAGGTGAGGCTTGATTTTAAAAGACTTTACGCAAAAAAAAAGACCCAGACCTATCAAAGCCTGTCTGCACTAGTTTGGCCAGGAGGGATTAGACATCCTTGCAAGGTCACTGACAGGTGGTTATCTCATCAAATCAGCTCTCAATTAACATAAGAAAAAGGGGATCATGGGGGACCAACGGGTACCGCTTAAGCATTGCTTGCCATAAAGAGGTCGCAATCTCGCTTTAAGCTACTCCTTTATGTCATACTGATTGAAGACGTTCTCTATAGTTTTGATATCATCCCTGACAGACAACGTTAACATGATAAACATGTATCTTAACCATTTATCATGTTAATTATCAAACCTGCATGTCAACCAATCAGGTTTTTAATCCTGTTTTACACATATCTATATGGGCAGCATTTCACAAAACCATTGTAAGAACAAGTTTGCTTACATGCCTTTCAATGGGATCTCGGCCAACTTGTACTTAAGACAGTTTTGTGAAACAATTCCCTGGAGTTTAGATTTTTGGTTCTTGCAGTTTCTCCTTCCAACATTTTAATAAAGTTATTGTTTTTTAATTTTTCAGTCTCAAGTTCCAAGTAACAGAATCCACCAAGAGCCACGAGGAGCTCGCCAAGCGTCACAGCAGACATAAATCTAAAGAGGGATGCAAGGAGAACCTGCCAAGTATTCCAACTCCTAATGTAGACTCAGGGGTGTCTGTGACTTCCAGTACTGGTGAGCGGTTCTCTCTTATTTAGAGTATATACATGTGGCACATACAGTACAAAAAAAACATGTTTTTTCATTTGCAGATCACTTTCATATTTCGCTCATAACTTTTGAGACATTCTTTCAAATTATAGCAATATTTCTCATTTATGGTAGAGTAATAACGTCAGATTTTTTGCGAGGGGAGGGGGGGGGGTGTACTCCTTTGTTCTGATATTTTGATACAAATGCCTATTATTACCTGTGTAAAAAATGTTTTGCATTGCAAAAACTATGATGGATTGTCGGACCCTTGATGAAATGTACTGTATTTGTATGTTCTATCTTAAAAGGACTTGTGACTTGCTTTTGATAATAATTCCAAACAAGGACTACTTGTAACTTTCACAACTGTCATATGTCATGCTACTTATCCTATAGCTCTGAGGTCTGGAAACAAAAAAGTTTGTCTTCTGTCTCCTTATGATGTGTATGTCCACCAGGGGATTCCCCAATTACTCAGTTTGACCTTTGACCTACATGACCTTTCTGAACATCATTGGTGTGTGAACTAGGTTTTGGGGCTTTTGGCATGATGACATACGATCTATAATCGGTCATTTATCTCACTAATAATAATAATAATAGTACAATAATAATAAATAAATAAAAAGTGCACTTATGTAATAACTTACTCCAGGCGCTATACAAAACATTTATCTTTTATTTGTATCAGATGGGAACGAGGAAGATGATGGAGACGAGAGTGATGATGAAGATGAAGAAGAAGAAGAGGAGGAGGAGGCGGGGAGTGTCACGCCCAAGGCATCCCCAAGGCGCAGCAAGCTTAATACTCCCGTCGAACCTCCGTCTCCTGCCGCCACGCCCGACGAGGAAAAATTCCTACATACAAATTTCAGGTAAGAAATCTTTCACAGAGCCCTGGGTTGCATCACTGACGAAAGAAATAAGCTTATGGATACTGCAAATGTTGTTCAAATATCAGGGAAATCGTACAAAAACAAAAAATAATGCAACATGGTATTATTCAGGATGTATTGGTAGCTTATCCTACAAAACAGGGCTCCACATTTACTGGTGGTCTGGATTGAAATTTGTTTTGGTTCAAATGCACCGGGCCACTGTTCAAATGTCAAAATAAAGTGGGTCCAGTGGTGATTTTAGTGGCCCTGAGTATGTTCTGGACCCCTTCACTATAACACCCTTAATTAAATAACGGCTTTAAAGAAAAAAGACAACAATGGAGTGTTATTTTGTAAAATTTTATGAAAACTTCATCAAAGAATGATGACAAGATGAGTCCTGGAATGGAGATGTTGTTGGTTGAAGTGGAAATGTGTTGAACTGAAGAAGAATTTACTAATCTTGCATCAGACAGAATTAACTCATTTCAAGTCAAAACCATGTTTTTAGAATTAAACAATGCATGCTGGTTTTATATGTTCTGTCAACACATGTACATAATTGCATTTATTGAATTTGTTGATAATCTGGCATGAATTTTTGGCTATGATTTTAATATTAAGCTCCATATCTTTTCATATTTGCAAAATATTTGTTTTCGTTGATTTTGCCAGCAGTATCATCATTTATCTGGACATATTTAGAGTATTAAGATTGAAAGTAGTAGTAATTATTTCTTATATTTATATTATTCTAAACACAGAAAATAATAGAAACCATTAAAAGGCATATTCTTATTAGGAACTGATATTAATCAGTCAAATTGAAGATTTGTGAAGGCACAAGGCTTGTTAAGCAATAAAAAGGGGGAAAATATCTGATTGCTTTTTTTTCATGTCTTCTGACCAATAATAGATCAGTAAATTATAAAGCTGTAAGATCATTGTATTTTCAAACCTTTTAAAAGTGTTCCAAAAGGTTATACATAAGGATAATTGTTTCAACATGTCATAGCCAAGTTTGATTGTTGTAATGGTCATGTGACTAACATAGATGGACATTCAACAATATACGAGACAATAATAATGTGTTTCTAAGCACAATGATTTAGTTGCATTTTCAACACCCCTCCTTCCTCCGTCACTTTTGACCACACCCAAACCCCCTCTAATGACACCCTACCGACACCCCCGTACTACCTCTACTACCCATTTTGCATGTAGTTTTGCCGAGGAGAAGGAGAAGAGTATAGGGGATTTCATGGAGCAGGAGAATTTTGGCAAATGCCTGGAGCAGCTCCAGTCGAAATTCTCCTGGGACGAGCTCAGCTCCGGGCGGCTCAGTATCTCGTCCCGCTTCCTCTCCAGGTCGCAACACTCCATCACCAGGTGACTACCGCCCTCTCTAGTCAATACACTGACATGCAGTTTGATAAAGTGTATTTGTTTTTACGTTGTCCTGTTAGAAGTGTAGCATGTTCAGATTAATTTGACGTGCCATGCATCGATAATGTTTGTTTTGTATTTGACTACACATACATGTGGCATATTTCATAACAACAATATAAAGAATTATATAGTTTAGTTTAAAAGTAACTTATAACAATAGATTTCACGATTCTAGATTACTTTTCATTGACTAATTCATGGTACAGGTAAGTTTTGTTTAGATTTAAACATGCAGATTATTTATGTCTTGGAATTATAGGAGATACAATCTAATAACTGATATATGATATTACAAACATTGAATGCTCATTTATATTTTGTTGAATTACATTTCTTTTGCATTTGTATAATTTGCCCATGTTCCTATAAAATCGTTGTACCGATTTCAAATTTGCAATATGATTCTGTTTTTCCATGAATTCTTTGATATCATTATTCATACACATATATATTCTCTAACAATGATTGAAGGAATAGTGGAGTTGATGAACAAGATGAGGGAATTTTTTCCCAGTGTGATTATTTTATCTGCTTTAAATGGTATATAAAATATATAACATTTTTAGATGATGAACATAGTATTAGCAATAATCTGAGTTGATGTGTAGGATAACTATTTAATGCATCATCTTCGAAATGCGTGTATCTGATTTCAAAAGGAAAAGTACAGGAAAGGTCAAATACCTTTTTGATTTCATTGAAGAAAATGGAGAGAAAAAAGGATCACCATTGTTTTGCTATTTGTTTTAATTTTTTTTAAATTTGACTTCACTTCAGAGAAATCAAATATTGGTTACTTTTATAAGAACTTAATATTTGTCCACCTCCAACATTTCAATTTGTGTATGTACAAAGCAAACCAAATTGATGCTGGCAATTTGTCATGAGACCAACACTTTTCAGCTGACATATTCAATTATTTATACCTTGAAATATATATATATACAAAGTTGGGATTTCCTGTAATGTCAATCTAGCAGAAACAAGGCGTGAATTGACTGATTTAAGGACTTTCACTTATTTTCTGTTTCTGGCCTTCATCACTTTTAGTGCAAACAAAGGGAAAGCTGACTGTTTTTAGGACGTTCACACCCCCCCCCCCCCCTGTTTCTGGCCTTCATCACTTGTAGCACAAAGAAACTTTTTTTTAAAGACTGTTATTAACCCAATAGCAACTAAACCGCCCCTCCTTTTACTCACTCAACCGTCCAAAACTGCCTGTCCGTTTTCAATGCGCTATAGTATCTGTTCTAGGGTCTACCGTTATAATGTGATACGTGCGTAATCCTTACAATATCTAAAGAAGGATTCAGCGTAGGAAAATAGCGCATGTTTCATATTCTTCAGGAAAATGTCAAAATGAGAGAAATATTGCAAGACCTTCAAGTGAGTAATAGGCCATTTTTACAAAATCTCTAGTTGCTAATGGGTTAAAAACCCTCGGGCTCTCTGGCCTGCATCATTTCCATGCTCTCTGTCGGAGGGGGGGGGGGGGCATGTGGTTTGAAGTTCAATTTTGATGAATCATGCTTCCCCTGTATTATCTAGTGGGGTATGAATTGCTTGTCAGTCAAGCATCACTCCAGCAAATTATATCTTCCTGTATTGCTTGTATAGTGGCACTCGCACAGGTCCACTCCTCGCAGTTTAGAGGACAACTCTGTATGTATGAGTCTATGAGTTTGTGTGTTAGAAGGTGATGTGTTTTAGCCAGGTTTGCCACAGACAGAGATCCAAAACCTTGTTTTTCCAAAAGTTGTGGGTGTCTGTTCTGAACGGGTGAGGCAGGATCTACAAGATTTTTTGTTTATTTGTGGAAACTGTGCCTGTGCTGTCTGAGCTGTGATGGAGTAGTGAACACATCATATTTGCAAATGAGGTTCTAGAACTGTGTGGATTTGTTTTAAGCTGTGTAGCGCTTTGATCTGAAGTAAAAAAGGATATCATAAACTGTTAGATGATGAGGGAATAGTTGTACTTCGTGTTTATAGTTTATAGTTTATAGTTGGTACAGTGTGTGGAATATGTTGTAGTCATGTTTAAGATGATGGACTGAATGAGATGCGGGTTCTTCGTAAATGAAATGAGATGACCCATTTGTGGATGATCAGGAATGTATTATCATTGATTTGCTATTGTTGACCTCCTTCAGTAGACAGATTTTCACTTTACAAGGTTTCATTTAAATTGAGAATTGGACCATGGAATAATAACTGCAAATTTTCCTTTGCAAAACATTCCAGGTGAGTATTACCATAATTAACGTTGTATAAATCGCCCTAGTGTATTAACCGCACCCCTTTTTTTCGCCCTAAACGTGTAATAGAAAAAAATTGGAGGAATTATTATTATTAACTACATATTTAGATCTATCAGAAAGGTTACTATCAAACCAAGATGACAGACAAATTTGAGTGTTGTTCTAGTTTCCGAGGGGTGAGTCAACACACCGATTACTGAGCTGGGAGACACTGCCAGGCATAGCGCCAGGTGGAGGGGCATAAATCAAAACTTTAAAAAAAAATATTTAAAAAAATTGTATAAGACGCACCCCCGACTTTGAACTTTTTTCGGCGGCAAAAAAGTGTGGTTAATACAACGTTAATTACGGTACACCAATAAAAACTCCTACATATGCTTTTGATTTAGAGTCTGTTCAATCGCGTCTGTAAAATTGTGACTAGCTTACAAATTACGTCATATATTTACATCCATTCATGTGTTCATATTTACAGGGTGGCACCACCGACGTCCAAGAATACAACACCCACGGCATCAGGAATAAGTCCAGAAGAGGTACAGTGGGGGCGGCAGACTCTTTTAATTTCCTTACCAAACTCATTGCAGCAATATTTACATAATTCCTTTAGTTTTAATAGTGCTTGGTGTAGTAGGCAATAGCTGGATAGTACTACAGTCAAGCCTGCTTTAGTGACCACCTGTATAAAAAGACCACCTGTCTACAAAGACCACATTTTTTGTTTCCCTTGAAAATGGTTTCTCATTGAAACATGTACTAAAGGAACCCCTTATCTTGTCTCCCTTGGGTGGTCTTTATAGACAGGTTTACTGTACATGTATCTATGATAGCATTTTGCTATATGCAGCTGGTGGATAGGAGTTTATAGCAGAGGGGGAGGTGCTTGAGTAAATAATTGAAATGATGATTGTTTAAAGAGACATGATCACTTTCATGTTCCTTGTGCTTTAATTCATTGAGGAAGCCACTGAGGTAAAAGTGTCAAAATTACACCCCAAAATCCCGTTTCCATTTAGCAATTGTTTGTACAAGTTTTGCAAACAATTTAGAAATGAATGTACATGTATATACTACATTTATAATTGTACAAATCATTCAAAATCAACCAAATGTGATTAGCTGAATCACCTCCCTTTATGACATTTCAACAAATAACAAAAAACAAACACAAAAGATCAGCATTTATGCATTGCACTCCTTCCCTTTTCATTGTTTCTATCCACACGTACAGTCAACCCCGCTTTAGCAACCCCCTGTATAGAAAGACCACCTGCAATTGTACTCATTGCTTATGTAACCCCCCGATCAAGAAAACTCATGTCGGACTCTCTGTAGAAAAGGTTGGATTTATTCTGGGGTGATTTTGTACTTTTCTAGCAGCCAAACCTGCTTTAGCGACCACCTGTATATAAAGACCAACTGCCTGTAAAGACCACATTTCTTGTCTCCCTTGAGCGGTCTTTATATGAAGGTTTCACTGTTTATAACCTATACTATACATATTGCTTATGTTTGCAAATTCAGAAGGGGAAAGTAGATGTAATAATAGATTGGGAAATGGTATTTTTTAAGTATTTGCTGGTTTCCCTAACGTAACCTATTACTTGCTGTTGGATTTAGAAGAGGCATATTTTGATTCATGCATAATTTCTTTAAGCAGTTTTTAAAAATAGATTTACTAATAACATTGTATTAGTATTATTATCTGAAGCATTTTGAGCCAAGAAAATAGAGTGTTGTAATTGATGCTTTGTTTAAATGTACACATATGTACTTGTGTTAGACAGTTGGAAGAAAAAAATAGCTTTTAATAATTGTTTTGTTTTGGTCAGTTTGAATCTTGAATCTTTTACTACAGCACTGCAAAGAATATTTGCTATTTAGCTCTTTGGCATAGTTTTAAGTAATCATTTTTGTGCAGAGCATTGAAATATACTGCATTTCCTTGTTGGCTCAAAACTCTTCATACACATAATACCTATCAATGCTGGGGGAATCTTGCCTGGTATAAATATATATATATATGGGACTTAGTGGGCTGTAGATGAGATCTTTCGCTTCATTTTGCTTTCCAGTATCTAAGAAGACGCAAGGAGGAAGTAGCCAAGGCGGTGGAAGACACTAGGAAGAGATTAACATCAGTAAGAATTTCTACATGCTTTCCATCTTTCTTAGATAGGGCAGTGGTTCTTTGTCTTAGGTTTGCGTGGTGTTCGCATGAGTTTTCTCCTTTTTTTGGGGGGGGGGGGAGGGTGGTTGGGGTAGGAAAAGTGGTCACTAGTGAAACACAATCCCATTACAACAACAAATCTAAAGTTGTTTAAACATATTTGTGGCTTACACCTAGTAAATAAGATCGATTGATCGATCTGTAATTGAAAAACTGGTCAGAAAAAATCGTGGAACCAGCGGTGGCCTGGTGGTAGAGTCGCTGCCTGGCAAGCAGTAGATGGCAGGTTCAAATCCCGCTGGTTCCAAGATTTTTTCTGACTTGTTTTTCAATTACAGGTCGATCAATCGATCTTATTTACTTGGTGTAAGCCGTAAATATGTTTAAACTATTGAATTTTCTCCCAGGAAGCATCACATTTATTCAACAAAAAAAAAATTAAATCTAAAGTTGTTTGACAGGGGGCAACAGCTCTTCCTTTAGTTTGGCCCTTTTGAGGGTAATGGCGCTGAACAGAAATACCATGGGACCATGAAAATGCTAAGAACCACTGCTCTAACTCATGCAAGCACGCCTCAAGTGAGGTGGTCAACCGTTCCATCTGCTCGGATCAAAAAGGCGTTAGCCTGCATCATTATTTAATGCAGAGTAAACGCCCTTCTTGCTTTTGAGATATGATTTTTACAAATGCCCCTGCTGTAAAATGAAACGAACACAAATTGCACTATTCACTAATACAAACAGGCAATGATGTTGATATGATTGATTATGGTGCAGACAAGTAAATGTTCATCTCAATTTTATTTTACCGTTGGGGCAATTGTAAGCAGGTTTGTCACATTACGTTAGGGGCATCATAATGATCACATTAGATTAGAGGGCTGCAGTGCATGGTGGATAGTTCATTGGAAGGAAGAACAAGCTGCACTATAATGGTAGATGGGTTTAGTGGTTCCTTTATACCTTTCAGTGGAAGCTACTGTCAGGAGCACCATATTTGTAGCGAGTAGGCCATAGGTACTTGACATACAAGCAGTAGCAGGTAATCTTTAATTGTTTTTGGTATTTTTTTTAAAATCCTCCTCAAAATAAACCTGAGTATAGTTATTAGTGGATCTATATTGCAGCTATTGTCCAGATCTAGTATGAAGTAGAACCACAAACTTTTAGCTCACAATTTGCTGCTCAGATTTGAAATTGTAATAGATGACATAGTACAGGGCTTTTGTTAAGCAATTTACATGCTAATATTCACCAGAAGCTCAACCTTTTGAGAAATACACACTGAGTATCAATGCTTTCAATCAAACCATATAATAATATTCAAATCTACCATTAGATCCTGATTTCATGAGCCCATGAATTGTTATTGACATTATATGAAGTCATGTACCTGATCATTTCATTAGTTTAATTGCATGCTAACCGAAGTATAGTGATCAATGTTATCCCAAAGAGCCTTCATTTTTATTACAATTTATTTGTTTTATATGTTTTACTACACATTTCACTTCCAGTATCTATCAAAATAAAGTTAAACCTGAAATATATCTCATTTACATCAAACTACAATACAGTATGCACATTGAAAATTATTTGCTATAGATGAAAAAAGAATTATATCAGGGACCTGTCTCATAAAATTTGTTATCGTTAACAAGATATGATAATTGTTATAAACTACTGAAATCCTTCCATTTGATTGGCTATGAGCACAGATTTGTCATAGATCTTTGGCACTTGTTATTGATAGCAAGTTTTATGAAACATGGCCCAGACGTTGTCTACAGGGTGTTTTGGGTAGATAGGATGCTGTTACCATCAAGACTATTCTTTGATATTAATGAAAGCTGTTTTTTCCCCATTTTTTTTATTTCTCCATATTTGTGTTTTCTTTGTGACTGTCATATTATGTGTTGTGATCACGTTTTGATAAAATCATTGTGCATCTAGCTTGGATGGAACATGGGAGATAAAAAGACTGCCAACACCGCATCCACCGCGACTTCTGCTCCTGCTGGTGTGAAAATGAAACCCGCCATTCCTCCCCGCCAAAATAAACCTGCGCCACGAAAGATGCCCCCATTGCCATCAGAACTTCCTTCCACGAAAGACAATAGTACGGCCCCTGCTCCGGTCCAGGCTGATTCAGTACTAAGCAGTGTTGACAAGAAAGACAATGCCTCCATTGAGAGTGCCTCTGTGAATGGTCACGCAACCTCTGAGGATGTTGGTGTGAGAGGAGAGACAGAGAACATTCCTAGAGATGGCGCTCTTGATAAGAACCGACATGCCAGCAAAGAGAGCTCGCACGAATCTAGCCCCGAGACGTCGGGCAAGGCTAAAGACCTAGAGCCTCAGGAGAGATCCTCAGACTCGCTCCAGAATGTTAAGAACAGTGCTCTAGATGAAGTCCTTGATGGAGTCCTCAAAGACACCAAGTCTCCGAAGCACCTGATCAGCCAGACGTCGGTGTCTTCTTCAGAGGACACCAACAGCTGTGAATTTGAGGCGGAAGTAGACTCCAACAAGGAGAATGTGAGCAGTGTGGCCTTGCTGAATAAGAAGAAGATGGGGGAGGAGGAGAGCGTTGCCGTGCCTGCCACCAAGTCGATGAGCGGAGGGGATAGGTCAAAGGTCGCTGGCAAGAAGACCAATATGAGGAGGGTAGCATCCTTGACGGACCTCAGGAAAGATAACTGTGAGTACTGGATATCTTTACTCAAGGCTTATTGATAGATTGATATCAGGTACACATTTAGGTTGCAAACAGATTTGTCCATATTGCAATGAATGTTCCATTTTAACAATGGAACATCCACCCTTTTGAATCAGCATTTTAAGTCATTGCCCTTTGAAATACTAGAAAGCAATATTGAATTAGGGACAATATGAGGCATTTTGATAAAAAGGTATCTTTTAGCTTTAAACATGTTAGCTTACAGCCTTTAAACGTATTTTGTAACGATGATAAACTGTAAGCTCATATTGTGATCCGCCTGATGCTTTTGATTATCCTGCAGTGGACAAGAATGAGACTTCCCCTACCCTGACTCCACCAACTCAGTCATCACATGCCAGAAGCTCCAGCTCAGAGAGAAAGAAACAGCAATCGTCCCCCAGCGATAGTCCAGCTAGGCAAAAGAGGCGGGAGAGAGCGGATAGGATGCTGCCCCTGCTCCCGACACCAAAGACACGGTCCTACGAGGGACGAACCACAAGCTCCATGGCCAAGGTGGTGAGGAGAATGGGCGAGTCACCGCCCCCTTCACCGGACACGAGGCGGAAGAAGATGAGCCTTGGTGGTGCCACTACCTTGTCCAAGAGTGGTCCTCTGAAGGCAACGGATCCATCCCTGATAAGCGATACCAAATCGGACTTTGACTTTGATCTGAACAGCGAGGCATCCTTTGAGAGCTCAAAGGCCAGTGAGGATGGTTCCAGCACAACCTCAAAGATGACTGCATCTGATAAGGTCGCGATGCCTCCACCGTCATCTACCCATGTCAGCAAGGCAAAGGGGAAGAAAGTGTCAAACACCAAGATGGCGGACAGAGGTAGGAAGAGAAGTTCGTCGGTTTCCGCAGGGACGCCCCGTGGTAGGCGATCCTCGACCTCCTCTCTACCGCCCTCGTCGTCAGAAAGCAAAACGAAACCCTCAGACTCTAAATCGAAGATTCCCACCGTCACTGTGAAACCTGCTGTACCAAACAGATCTCCAAAGGCCGCTACGGATTCCAAGACAGAGAACAATCAAATGCAGTCCACTACAGATTTTAATGAGACATATTCTGTAGCAGTTGCTCAAGTCGATAGCATTGCTGCTGAATCAAAGTCAAGTGAAGGTGTGACAAATGTGAACAGGCCTCATGAGCCATTGATTAATGTGGAAGGAACCGTTGATGGTGTTTGCAGCAAGCAGGGGGAAGTTGAGGAGGAGAATGAAGCAGATAAGAGCAGTAGTATCAGTGAGGACACCATGGTATTGGAGACCAATGAAGCAAGGACAGCATCCAACCAGCAGGGGGATGGAGAGGAGCAGAGGAAGCAGGTGGAGGGCACCACCACCAGTGGGGGGAATACCCCGGAGGAAGTTAGAGCAATGAGGGCTGACCTGAGGATAGATCTGGATGACATCACAGGTGAGTGATGAGTGATATCTCGTGATTAGATGAACTCCATTTAGTTATCAGACCAAAGTACATGTAAGGAGAGCTTTAAATACACAGGAAACAAACATATATCAAGCTGAATGTGTAGGTGGGTTTTTTAAAATAAAGATTAAGCTAAGGAGCATGTACATCAAAGCACTTGTTTGTTGCACTCCATTGTCAGAATGACTTGAATGTTGCCCATCAGCAAGAAAAGAGAATAGTATTCCATCATCATGTATCAATCTTTTGAATGAGGAAATTTAGCTATTTCAAATTCTAATAGAATTTCCATAAGTTTAAAGAAAAACTTTGGTAATGACTTACTTACTTACTTACTGCCCATTATGCCTCCTGGCACATAGGGCAGCAACAAAAGTCTTCCACTCCTTCCAATCCTGGGCCAGTCTTTGGATTGTATCCCATGTGTGGTTGGTAATGTGGTTTGGTAATGAAGTTGCAGTTATATCATTTTTCTTACACCTTTGTCAGGAACGATATCTCTTATATATTCAGGCCTGATAAAAACCCGATTTAAATCAGTTTCCCAATTTTTTTATTTTTTTTTCCCCGATTTTTTTAGATATTTATTTTTTACCAGATTTGTTTTTCTTCCCTATTTTATCCTGATTTTCCCGATTTCCCCCTTATTTTCTCTATTCTTCCCTATTTGGCCCTATTTGGCCCTATTTGGCCCCCAATTTTCTAAATTGAAAGGGGGAATGTTGTGAGATGCCATTTTTTCCCCGCGAATCCTCTTCCTTTTTTTTTACTCAAGGGGGGCGTGGTTGAGGGGAAAACAAAAAACCTGTTTTTTTTATAGTGCTCACTATCACCCCTGTATATTGTAATACTTTGATTTAAAAGCTCCCCTTTGAGATGGGTATGACTTCTAAGCATAAGAAGGATAGTTTGATGAAAATATTCATTTGTTCCTTATTTCTGTTTTTACAAAAAAAGTTCACATATTATTTGTTGTATGTTTTTCGACAGTGGATGGGACCGAAGTGGACCCTGGTGTGGGACTGAGGCAAAGTGTAGATGCCATGAAGCACGCATTTGATCAGTGCATCAATTACGTTGCAATGGTAAGTAGAGATTTGTCTTGCATGTGGGATATTGCTGCCTGAACTAGAAAGCCCTGCAAAGTATTTCATGTTTTGTTTATAGCGGAAAGACTGAAACGTTTGGCTCTTGTCTTTTTGTCTTTTTTAACTAGTGAAGTAAAGCAATATTGTCTAATTTGTGTGGTGTGTTCCTGAGAAAATCTGCTGTAATGAAACACTACATAAAGAAGATACTCTGAGAGCTTTTTCGTATCTTTTCATCATGTAGTGACTATTCTTTGACAAGATTAAATTAATATTCCATTATTAAATGCCATGTCGATATTCTTATGCTTCTCATTGATTGTTTTTCCATCGCAAACTAGATCGAGAGGAGAGGCAACCACCGTCAAGACCTGAACTACTTCAGTTCCACCTTCGCCACCATGGACAAGTCCTACGACAGCAGAGTGCTTCCGGTCGTCCATCGCAGCAACAATGCCTCCCCGGAGAACACCCTCTCCGACACCAGTGAGGGCTGTCTCAACAACAATAACTCTGGAGTGTTCTCGGACGCATCCCGAAGCCTGCCCTCGTTGTCAGACCTCCTGGGGGGGAGTGGTCAGTCGTCGGGCGGTTCGAGGGAGCGACTGGACAAGAGGTCAGGATCGCTGGACGCGTCCTCTCCCCAGGCTCTGGCCATGCTGCAGCACTACTCCGACATGCTGGTCAACCTGGTACGGGACAAGATGGATGGCAGCGAGGACGGGCTGCTGAGCGGCCGCAGTCGGATGTCATCTCTTGATCTAGAGGGAGAGGACTAGACTTAAAGACATGATAATGGATGGCACTCAATGATGCCATGTAAAACTGATTCATAGTGCAAGATTCTTTGACCATGAAGAGGAAGGCTCCATGTTATATTACATCTATATTTCATATTTTCCCCCTTTAATACATGTAAATGCTGTCTGCTCAATATCATCATTCAATTAAAAACATTTCATTTTGTAAATGATCTGCAGAGGATCAAAACAAAGTGAATTGTACAATATTAATGGTTTTTGTCACCTCGTTTCAGATTCTTGAATTTTATTCCAAACAACGAATTATCAGATTAAAAAAAATAATAATAATAATATTTAAGATTTATATAGCGCTGGTATACAAGTACAGTTTCTGAGCACTTTACAAAACAAGTGAAATGAAAAGTACGGTTAAACTAAATATGTAATAAGGAGGTTTGGGGGGGGGGATTATTAAACAGGATGGGATTTAAAAGAAAACTTAGGAATCAGATTTACTTGGCCTTATCATCTCAATTTTTCCTCTTTCTGGTAGCTCTTTCATGCCATTCAAGCTAGTAGCATTTGTTCAAATAGATTCCGCAAGTCTACCAGGTACCGTACACTACAATTATCTCATAAATGATAGACAACAAAAGACGAGACTTGCATGCAATATGATAGAATGGCATTATACCATCACAATGTAAAAATGTATAACCTTGTATTTGAATGCAGAAATAAAATCAAACAAACAAACAAACAATCCATATTTTATTCAAATAGGTGGAGACTTGGGAAGATATAGATGACAACTACATTTATGATTTTCACTCCAATTAGTAAATTTATTTGAATGATAGCTGGGATTGGTGTTTAGAATGTACAGGTACTTAACTTCTGGTAGGGATGTATGCATCTATATATTTGCGATTGATGCAAGGTTTTTGGGGGGCTATTTCAGAGGAATGTAATTTGAACCCTTTATTCTAAACATTTGGGGGTTTAGATTCAATTTCAATTTTACATGGGTGGGTGAACGGAAATGAGGAATTTTTCTTATAGGGCTTGTATATCTATCTAATCACTATGATAGTAGAATAATAGTAATACCATGTGAACATTTTTTTTTCCTGAAGAATTTTTTTGTTCTACTTTTAAAAAGAAGTTTGATTAGGAAGGGGTCGGATTAAGAACAGATCAAAACCCCTTTGAACTTCATCCAAATAAATCAAACTGACTGCACTGCCTTCATCATCTAGAGCTATGAGAAAGTGAAAAAAAAATAAGTAGTAAACTTGTCAGTAACCATCATTGGTATGTTTGATCATTCATGTGCGTGTGTACAAAGTACAGAAATAGTTTCTTTGAAAGACTTTCTTTGCAATTTTTTGCACAGCCACCTCATTTCGCCTCTGGAAATAGCTTGTGTATATATATTTGGTTGCATAGCATCTCACTACATTCCATATTCAAGATGCACTCTTTGTCTGTATATATAGAACGTGTATAGAATATTCACAGAACGCTATTTTTGCTGTACTACACTCTTACCACTGCTTTGTGCCCTCGTCGTGTATATAGAATAACTTTATTTTGAGAAGAGAGAAGCATACAGTATTAAATCTCATCTTTATTTTCATTTCTACACCAAGCAGACATGTATGTTTCAGAAAAGGTACACGCTTTGTTATTTTTTCGATTGAAGAATCTCAATCGACTAACCTGATTTTTGTCATTGACATGTACGAAGTGAAGTAATCACGGTTGTAAATATCATTAGAAAATGCCAGGCATTCTTTACGAGAAGTGTACATGTGGTATATATTTTTTTTCTATTACTGCGCGAGTGCATTGGTATGCGAGACTGTGCAAAATATTTCGTTTCGTAGCGCGATGTTTAAATGAATGATAGTACTTTGTAATGAGTGGTCATTTTGCAATGAATACTTTGGCAAATTTCTGCCATCTAGTGCATTTTTGTAAACAAATACTGTTGTGCTTTGTTCAGCTTTAAAACAGATATAAAATCAGAGTTGTGTGCAGTAATGACGCCTGTGTGTGTGTGTTCTCTTTTCTGCATTGATTAAGATACAGAAACAGGAATATGCTTATGCTGATAGATTTTGCTGCGGCGATTTTGTTTTACGCGACGTTTGGCCCATGTCTGAATGGGCCTCTAGTCTATTTCTGGTGCTTCCTTTTTTTCAAGTTGTGAGCTTTTATAAGATCTTGTGCATTGAGTATCGAGTCAAATTTCTGTAAATGTGAAGTGCTCCCTTTTTTCCTTCTCCAAAAGCCAAAAGTACAAGAATTAAATAATATGATAAATCTATGCACTCGATCAGCAGCTTGCGTAGTAAGCACAGTCTTGTTTTATGAGTCGTAGCTGTCAAACAAATTAATGTCATGATTTGCAACACTACTATTAAAACAGGATCTACAATGTACAACACATACATGTAGATATGCACATTAAACCTTGTATTTCTTTGTTTTTATTACAAGGATGTTCTTGTGTATCTTTGTTGCCAAATTCATGTATGTATTACAAAAAATTTCATTAACAAGGTAATTTTCTTGAAAACACCATTGGCTAGTTGGATAATAATTCATTCTTATTCAAGAATTGACCTTCGGTATGGCTTCACACAATGGCTTTATAAAGTACTGCTCTCTGCATACATATATGTGAGCTAATGTTCATCAAAATACTGGATGTATAAGTTACAACCATTGTGTCTGGGTGAATTCATTTTTAATTAGAATTAAATATGAAATTAGTACAGAATGAAAAGTAATTGTTACTTGAAATATGCTATTGTTGACATTTTTGTTTTAAATGTTGACTTTATCTTAGCAATGAATGAAAATTCTGTCCTTTACCTCTACTAAAAATAAAGATTTGCATTTAGTTCATGTAAGAGGTTGTACTTCAATTGCTTTGTCAATCCCTCTTCCCCCCCCCCCCCCCCTCCCTTTCCTTTCTTCTCTCTCTTTTTTTTTCGTTCTCTTTCTCTCTCATTTGCTGTTTCTCTCTTCTCTCATTCATTATCCCCATGTTGCTATTCTTGCTGTCTCTCTGTTTCTCTCACTCCCCCCCCCCCCCTCTCTCTCTCTCTCTCTCCCTCCCTTCCCCTCTCCATTCTCTCTCTCTCTCTCTTTCTCTAGTTCTCTCTCTTTCTCTATTTCTATCCTTCTCTTTATCCATTTTCTCAGTCTTTGAAATAAAATTTTAAGTGAAGAAAATCTGGAGTAGAGTAATCTATTTTGTAACCACATTTAGTTTTGCCATACCATTTCTAAAATTCATAAAATAAAGACATTCAGGGCAGAAGAGCCATGATGCTGCCAGTATGTGTGTGTGAATGTACAAATGTTATTATTTATCATGTCAAGTGTGTTTGTGTTAATCATTCATGAAGCAACTGCAGCGAGCGAGCAAAGAGTTATTATTTGAGAAACAGTTATTGTGTATTATTTGATATGATGCTATACTTGTATTGATTTGATCCGAAATTGATCGATAAAGCTTCCATTCCAAGCTGACTTTGTGTGTACTATGTTGTGTTATTTTCATCTGTTGCTTTCTTGTGTTATATTTGAGTGTTGTTGTTGTTTTACATATAAAACTGACATGGCATGACGTGTTGTAGAGAATCTATGCATTGGCTGTGCTTTGAGTAATATGGACTAGTACATGTATAGATTATTATTCTTACTACCATTATCACTTTTATGAAAATTGTGTATGTAAGAGAGAAAGGGGAGTGCAAATGGAGAGAGGGTGTGTCTGTGTGTGTGTGTGTGTGTGTGTGTGAGAGAGAGAGAGAGAGAGAGAGAGTTTCTCTTTTCGCCAATCTGTGACAACTCCATTCCACAATGTTTATACATTTGTACCTCAGTTACTTGGTAGCAGGTACTTGATTCAATTGTGTTTTTTTTAGTAAAGATTTACCTTTTGCAATATTTATGGCTCCTGAGTTCACTATCAGTCAGAGAGGTTACAAGGGTGCACAATATAAATCAGTTTTCTTTAAGACATGACCCTAAACTCTTCCAAGATGGTTTCAAAGAGCATAGTTTAGACCGAGGCTAAATTTAGTAGTGGGAATTACCACAGCCGTTTTATTTACTCTTTATTTTGTGCTAGGTATTAAACATAATTTGTTTTTTCTTTATATCAATAGAAACAAAATAAGAAACATGCACACTCTCGAAACGAGAGAGCAATTTTATTGAGGACTAAATAGTAGATGAGCAAAACAAAGCAGGAAAACCAGGAAACTCAGAGAAAATGTTAATTTACCTTTTCATCATCATGATTTTTATTCTATATTCACTGTTTGGCATATTAAACATAGGTTATACAACAATTACCCCCTGGACAACCCCCCCCCCCCCCGACAAAAAAAAAACTGCTTTAATTAAAACGGACTTAATATCAGGGTGGGCTTCCCCTTTAATGAACAAGGGGGGATAATTTTCTTCGGGGTGGTTGTCTGGGGGGGGGGGTGATTGTCCTGATAAGTTAAACATATAATGCTTTATTTATCTAAATGAATTGATGACCAAGATTCCTCAGTGGGCGAGATCTAATCAGAAATGTTGCCAAAATCTTTGCACAAACAAAACTAAATTTATAACGAAGAACGCACTTAGCATCGAGATGTCGGATACAATAAAATCAAATGTACTAGGTCACAAATACATGCATATACAGGTAGCTATATGAGGTAAATTTGTTTGTACTTGAATAGCTATTATAACCTTTATGGCACCCGCGAAATACGCAAAAACTAGTAGCTGTAATGTAACAATATTTAGGACAACTGTGTCCTCGACTCCTCGCGATACCATAAAATCATAAAAGCATTGCTAATCGGTTCTATATAGGACTTGAAATGTCAACACCCCGATCGTTGTTTTCATTGATTGGAGGCCTGATTAAGATCGTCAATGTTCACCTGCTCAACTTTATGTTACCCACTGACAGAACTGAGGGGCACAACCACACCTCGCCCCTTTTAAAACTTGATAAAAAGATAAGTGTGCCCCCTGATTGTGGTCTTATGTAGCCCCCCCCCCCCCCCCTCCCCCAAATCCTAGATTCAAATATAGATTCAAATGATTTTTATTTCTCATGCAAAAAATAATACAATAAATAATTATTTCACAAAAATATGCAATGAAACGACAAATATAGTAGGGAAAAAAAGCATGAGAAAAGATATTAATTAACATCCGCAATTTTGATTTATTTTTTTCTATTTTTTTTCTTCTTGTCAGATCCCCCCCCCCCCCTCGAACAACAAACAGAACATGCGAACAATAGCAATGCTATAAATTCATAAACATGGTTGTAATGAGAAATCAGATTGCCATTGTCAACAACGTACATTGTCTTGGCTTTCTTATCTTGGTTTTCATACAGAATATTTTTTGATTACCATATAACATTCACCTATTCAACTAACCCCATCAAAAGATTCGAACATCGAATTCTAGTTTGAAACAGAAATGGCTCATTTGCAGGAATCGTGGTAATGCCTCAGTTTTCAATAATACATTCAATCGGCCTATATGCCCCCTCCCCCTTTAAAGCCAAATCTGGCATTCCTTAAAGGTACTATGTCCCATTTGCAGGCCAAAAAAAATGAAAAAGTTAAATTCCAACTGCATTTGAAAGATAATACTAATTTAGAACTTCCCTAAAAAAGGTGGGGCTTGAAGATGTCTTCAAGTGGGAAAATAATGACTATTAGTTGTCAAATCGACTTTAGGGCTATAGAGCCCAAAAGTAATAGTCTTGATTTTCAGACAATTGTACCGAATGGTCATACATTTTATGCTGCGCAAAGATTCAATCAGTTTAATCTTGGTCATCACAAGAAGTGGGTTATTGATGTAGACAAATGCTCATGTACCCTTTACAACTCTTTTCATGTATGTTATTACTAAAGAAGAAAAAAGGCCAGTCAGTCACTCAATAGTGTCTGACAGTGAAGTCTAGCAAGTTTACGGGTTTCCTTGCATAATTTGAATATGACGACACAGCTAACGTTTAAATTTCACAGATAGGACATACATGACATATTCATAATTCCTGCAAAGTTCTACAGAATTTGAGGTTGGCTGCAAAAGGGACATAGTATCTTTAAGTACACAAAGAAAAAAAATACCCCTTTGCGTTTTGTGTCCCCCATGTCCCTCCCCCTCCTCCTTTTCAAAATTCAAACTCCCAGAAGAACCTGATAATGGGAATCATTTATGTTCTTGCTTGTATTATTGTGCCCTCTACCGTTTACTACATCTGCCCCTGGTTTTTAGCACACTTCATGGTCGGTTTGGTGGATAGTATACGAATTCATGCGCCGCCGTGTTCTGTCCCTTTCTTACAGAGCAATCCAGGACCGATAACAAGTTGCTAGAGAGAAAGAGATTGGAAGAGAGGTCGGGATAGAGAGGAGGGACGAAAAAGAGTAAGATTGAAAGAGAGATTGGCCGAGGGAGAAAAGGAACAGTGAAGAAGGGAGAATAGATAGAAGGTGGGGTAAGGACCGTAGAGGTAGAAGGAGAACCCACAATTCTATGATTCAGCAAAAGCGCAATTAAAGAGAGAAACGAAAAGATAAGTCAAATTTAAACTAATTCACCCTATATACTCGATCTCACATAATTATCATACGGGGGGGGGGGGGGTTCAAGTAGAAGAAGACTTTAAATCTTATAAACTAATTGCACCACCTACTTAGAATCATTTCGAAATTCAAAGATGTGTTTCTAATCTCTGCGATTGTGTATAAATGTATGAGAGAGAGAGAGGGGGAGGGAGAGAAAAATAGAGAAAATAGAAAGAGAGAGAGAGAGAGAGAGAGAGAGAGAAGGGAGAAAGAGAGAAAAAAGGGGAGAGAGAAGGGGTTGGGGGGGGGGGGAGAGTGAAAGAGAGAGAGAGAGAGAGAGAGTGAGTGAGTGGGATAGATCACAGAGAAGAAGAGAGTACATAATTATGTAGAAGGAAGCTCTTCTTATAACAACAAGAAACTTCTTTCTAAATTTAGCTGCTACATATTTGTCCGTGTTATAGAAAAAAAGAAAAGAATATTCTACTGTAATTCTACTATTAGCAAATACCTACAATGTTCTATCTGGAAATTCTAACCAACATCCGTTAGAAACGGAATTTGTACATTCCGGTGTAGATAGGGACACCTCCCTGTATTGATTTTCTGAATCCATAAACACTTAATTTCTTCCTTCCTAGCACTGCCCGCCTGGAATGTATCGACACGTATTGTGACACGCGTGTATTCGTTTAGTTATTAATCTGAAATCTAAAGTGGCATACCTACAAAGGCATCCCAATCGAATGGCGAAAACGGGAAAATAACTATAAATGAAAGAATGAGATGGAGAGAGAGAGGGGGGGGGGGGTGAGAGAGAGAGAGAGAGAGAGAGAGAGAGAGAGAGAGAGAGATGGGGGGGGGGTAGGGAATGGTGAGAGAAAAAAAAGTGCTTATTTTGTTTATATTAGTCTATAGGTTGTAATGTACAGTTGCATACATTACGAGGGCATCCCCATCTTACTGGCGAAAAAGGTAAATATATTGGAAAAAGAGATAGATAGATAAAGAGAGAGAGAAAGGGAGAAAGGAAAGGTAACTTTAGATAATAATAGTAACCAATCCCCCCTTACTTGATTACCTTGTTCCCAAGCTTTGTTCTCATCTCGCAAGCCGCCTGTAACAGTGCCCCCTCCCCCCCCCCCCCCCCATGGCTTCACCTTTGCTGCGCCAACAAGGACAGGTTGCACTAAAAAAAGAAAAATCTGAATTAAAATGTAGAAAATGTGTTGTATCATTACCAGACGGCGTTGTTTTAACAGAAAGAAATTTATCTAGAGTAAATGTTTGTATCTTAAAAGTCCCAATGACGGGCAATGTATAGCCTGTAATGTAACGGATGAAACATAAAGCTCTTTCTACGTCATCATGGCTTAGCCCAGTTTATGAAAGGGGGTGTCCATTGCCCGATCGCGGTGTTCATAAATATTTGTCAAAGCTCTCGAAATCACGTTACATAGTCAACAAAAAAGATATTTGCGATGAGTTCGTATATGTATATCCCCAAACGACGAAGAATTCTTCATGTTGGCACTTTACCAAGTATACTCGAAAAGCCTGAATAACAACATACATGTACTAGATAATTCGAAAGGTATAAGAGAGTGATAATAGTCATACTGGACTTTCTAAAAGAGCAGCGGCGGATAAAAAAAAAGAAGCTTCGCACTCCATTGGTTTCATTCCAAACGAATTGAGGTCAATCAAACAAAGAATCTTGAGTGATCGCCTTTAATCTCTTTTCTGTCGTCCGAGGTTCCAAAAGGGCACTCTGTCTAGCTATCTTCACAAACATTGTCATTGTCTCACCGAGATCCTCATAGCGTGATATACCCCTATCATGCCACGGATTTTGTGACAGAACGGTTTAGAATGTACGTAGCAGCTGACGAACTGTATGTGTTGTTTTCTCGCAGTTTAGTTTCGGGACCGGAGTCTGTGTTGTTTTCGAGTTGATTACTAACATTGATGACACTTTTGCGAGTTGAGCAACCAGACGACACATCAGCACCACAAATTTGATCGATCATAGTCTGATTTAGTGACTTCGTGCCGCGTCCGATATGGTATGCATAAATATGTCTTGAAAGTGGTTTTCAGCTAGTTTTATTGTGACTAACGAGTGAGAGACTACCTTCATATTTTAATAGTTTCGGAAGTCAATACGTCCAAACGCAAGCGGATCTACTTGTTGACCGACCGGGATCGAACCCGAGGGGAAGTTATATAATAGTGCTTGATATTTCATCCCTATAATATTTCACAGGATTGTAATATACTAAATACTAATTGCACTCAAGCAGTCGATATTATAAACCAATCTACTGTTGAATAAACACTCATTTTGACATGCCCAGTGTGAATAATAGATTCGAAACCAGTCGAAACCATCTATCGAGACTATGATTAATGGGGCAGATTCAGTGAAGGATTGGCAGGCCACTTATCGACTTATCATCATTCAGTGAAGCTCTGTAAACTATTAATATTAATTAATATCGGAGCTTTACGTTGCGTCATGAAAGCCGTAGTTTTGAGGCACAGTGATGTATATTATTGCTTCTGTTACCGTCCTGTGTCATGAAGGAGAGCATTACAGAGAACAGCCATCGGAGCGAACATAGAGGTAATCTGTTAAAATCATTTCACGGCCATGCCAAACACTGGCGGAAATTGCATTTGAAACATTTATTAGCTACATGCATGATCAAGCGACTTAATTGCACGATACGTCGATACGTTCGTGCAGGTGGCTTTTATAACTGACAGTTAATTTGGTAATTGACATCGAACTGCCGTGGTCGGGGTCGTAGTCGTCATGGGGCAGAACGCGTGGCAGACCAGGTCACAGCTCCTCGCCGTCCTCGTCATCTTTTGGGTCTACCTCTTCATCGGCGCGTTGATCTTCACGTCCATCGAACGGCGCCACGCCGACGACCTCCATCGAACGTTCCTCGTCGCCGCCATCGACTTCGTTACCAACAACTCCTGCGTGAACCGGGAAGACCTTCAGACTTACTCCAACGACCTAATCGATGCGTATACCGGAGGTCTTCGTTGGACCCCCGACCATGGCTTCAACTCGTCCAAACAGCAATATCATCACTGGGATCTTATAGACTCGTTATTCTTTTCTGCAACGGTCGTCACCACGATAGGTAGGTTATAATGACTCAGTTTATATGTTTATTCATCTGTTTCATTCATCATAATCTATTCCTACATTCGTCTATTAACCCTTTATTACAATATTTATTACATTCATCAGTCATTATTTGTTTCTAATATGCAAATTGATGGTTAAGTGATAAATCAAGGCCAGTGGCATATCTATAGGCATTTTGGCGCCTGGGACAAACAGTGAATTGCGCGGGGAATTGCCCGCCCCCCCCCCCCCCCCCCCCAAAAAAAAAAAAAAAAAAGAAGAAGAAGATTATCTACATAAGTGTACAAGCGAGCGAAGCATTGTATAGTAAAGATATTACTTTGTCATCAAAATACATGCGGCCCGAAAATTCCCATATGCGGGCATCCTTTTGCCAAAAATCATATTGGTTTTAGATTTTGCGAGTGAGCGACCAAAGTGAACACCGATTTCTTTAAAATATCATTTCATCGTCACCATTCACTACCTTGGATAATACAGTGGTATATTCGGGCACCTTGCTACCCTGATGGTTGCTTGAAGATTGGAACTCCAAAAATCATTGGGGGACTCCCCCCCCCCCCTCCTTCCCCACCCCTTCTTGTACGCCTCTGACTACAGGGCAGAAGCACGGGAAGTTAAGGGGGAATAAGAAATGTTTAATGAGTGACAAATTAAAAGTGGTGTTTGAGATGAATAATAGGGAATTTAAGAGATTCCAAAACAGTGCTTTTCTCAATCTCACGCGTACATCTATGTTAAACTTCACTATGCAAATCGTTGCCTTAACATAACAATATTGTGTCATTTTTAACAGTGAGGCAACACCAATCAGTCTGATTCAGTCATTTTACTTTCCATATATACATATTTCACTATAATTTCACCAATTAAATTCTAACTTATGCTGGTACATATTAAATTAAATTCCATTTTTCCTGATCTTATGTTGTTATTTTATATTCCTTATATATTTTACTATAATTTCACCAATCAAATTCTAAATTATGCTGGTACATATTAAATTAAATTCCATTTTTCCTGATCTCATGTTGTTATTTTATATTCCTTATATATTTTACTATAATTTCACCAATCAAATTCTAACTTATGCTGGTACATATTAAATTAAATTCCATTTTTCCTGATCTCATGTTGTTATTTTATATTCCTTATATATTTTACTATAATTTCACCAATCAAATTCCAACTTTTGCTGGTAAATATTAAATTAAATTCCATTTTTCCTGATCTCATGTTGTTATTTTATATTCCTTACATATTTTACTATCATTTCACCAATCAAATTCTAAATTATGCTGGTACATATTATATAATTAATTCCACTTGACCTGATCTTATGCTGTTATTTTATACTTGTATTGTATTTTACATGCACTGTGAAAGCATGTACAATTTAGTCTATGACTGCCATTCTGAATTGAATGAATTGAAATAGCTTGAGAATATGTGTAGTCTATGTGTGTAATTTGGGTTTTTACAGACGTGTATCGACCAACAGGTTCCCGTGTCGAGAGAAACAACTGAAGATAAAATGCCATGTCTCGATGAAAATTCTATCATGGTGTTTTCTCACTTTAGTCCTTTTTCTCGATGTTATTCTTTCTGTAATGTTTATCCACTCTTTTCCCTCCCTCTACCCCATATCTCTCTCTCTCTCTCTCTCTCTCTCTCTCTCTCTCTCTCTCTCTATATATATATATAATGTATATATATATATATATCTCTCCCTTTCTCTCTCTCTCTGTCTGGTTTGGCATATTCACTGTTTGGGGTGGATGGGGCTGACCCGCAATTCCTTTCCCGCCAATATCGTAATTTTTTTTCGTGACCTTTTCCTCACCCAGGTCTGCAACTTATCTTTCTTTTAATTTCTTTTTGATATAGAGATGTTGTTGCTGTACGTACAACTTCATATTGCATTGAGGTGTCGTGGTATAGTTATTTATTCACGTGACTCTCAATCCGAGGGTTGAGAGTTCAAATCTCAGCCGGACATTAATGTCCTTTCGCAAGGCATTATTTCCCCTTTTTAATAGGCGCCCCTTACCATTTCGAATACATGCCCTTTTTGCTCCTAGACGTGCTCCTTTTCTCTTCTAATAAGTGTCCGTTCCTTTCTGATAAGCGCCCCTATTTCCTTTCTCATAACATGTGCCCCAAATATTTAAAGCAAAAAAGAACAGCTTTTCCTCTAAATTTCTCCAAAGGGTGGCTCACCACGCTCGCTCGCATTTGTAGTCGAAGTTATTATGTAACTTATTAAATTTACTTTCAGTTTTTCGTGATGAGATCGTGCTTAAAACCACATCAGGGTTGCTTTTCCTTAGTATAAGATCTATTTGTCACAGTGCGACCTCACAAATCTTAATTGTTGTTGCTCGCTTACTTCGCTCGCTCGCGAATTAATCTTTAGACCAGCACATCCAAATGCAAAGTATGACGCCAAAGCAGTATTTTAGACCACGTAAAGGGCGAAACAAATATCAAAATCATCCTTGATAATGCATTTATGTAAGGGTATATACTAATATCCTCCAAAAAAAATCGAGTTGTGATTTCCCCTTGTAATTGACCCTTTCCCCCAGAAAGTGTCATTTTTGTTGGTGCCCCCCCCCCCCCCCATTTCGGAAGATGCACTGGCGTCCCTTCCAAGATACTTGGTAACGTGTGGAATACAAATATACAAAATCAATACCTTACGGTGATGGATTAAGCAGTCAACCGCAGGTGGTTCATCACGGTGCAGAGCGGGTTGGGGCTCTGTGCATAATTTATTTCAATAATTGTTTTATCGGAATTTGCTATTGAATCAGAAATATATAAAAACAAGTTAATTACAACTTGGGGGAGACAAATAGACTTGCCCATGTGTGTACATAATTATGTGTGAGTGTGTCTGAGTGCATTCAACAGCACGGGACGAGTGACACCATGTATGGATTTCCTTTCATTAAATCAACATAATATTTAGGTTAAGTTTATTAGTGGCACAACACTTTTCCTTTTATCGCCTTTTTCTGTCAGTTTAAACCTCTTTTTTATAATAAAAGAAACCCGTTTATTGTAGAAGCGGTCAATACTAGTTAGTTCTTCTTTTCTCGTGCTTTTTGTCTACTATAGTTGTCGTTTCATTGCATATTTTTGAAATATAATTATTCATTGTATTATGTTTTGCATGAGAAAAAAAATCAGTTGAACATTTGAACATTGAACATGATATTGGTGAAGGGAGATGCAGTAGTTAGAGCAGTGGTCTACGAACAGACATGCAGGTCATGGGTTCAATGTCAAATCGGTGTGCTACTAATGCATGCATGTCATCAGCTCTCGATTGTCTGTATGTCCCTCGTATGGGTCTTGCAGCTGAACGTCCCTTGTACGCTAACCTACAACAGGTAAAATATGGTGGGTAAATGGAAATCGATCAAACAATATTGCACACGTCTCATAATTCACGTAATTGATAGCTTATGCTCAATTGGATGGTCGCGTCTGAATTAAATTTAGCCTAATTTATATTACCTTTTTAATTTTAGCGATATTTAATACATTTTCATATCCCTCTCGAGGCCAACCAATAAATTATACTTTAATATAATCTTAACTTTCTCTATCATTAATTATTTATAATGCCGAGATTACTTCACGGATTAAATTTGCAGGGATATCCAATCGCCATAATAGGAATTTGATTTGTGGTCATATTCCCATAGCGTCAAAATGAATCAAGCATACCAACATAAAGATAGAAAATGATAACCATTATAATAATTATAATAATAATGGGTTTTCGTATAGCGCTCATATTATCTGCCAGACTTGACACTCCTGGCGCTTCACAATAGAATCGCATAGATTCGATCAAATTGTATTATTTATTTATTCATTGTTCTTCAACCATTTATTTTAAGTGGCAGATCAAGACATTTATAAACGGGTGGGGCGTATAGTTCGTCGGCGTTTACATGAACCGTCGAATCCGTCGATTTTTGGCAAATTTTTCAAAATATTTTTTTTTCCATAATTGCGTTGACTGTTATGATATCTTTCTACTGACAAATTTTCAGATGCTGATTTGAGATAATTTTTGACAAAAACATGTTTATATTTTTACTAAAAACGAAACGTTGCGCGGAGCGATTGCATGAACCGTCGAATGCGGATTCGTCGGTTCATGAAACCAACCCTCCTTAAATTCTAGCAGACGATGAACCGTCGAATCTGTAGCATCGTCTGAACGGGATGTAAAAATTGGTAAGCAAACTGTGTTTCTTGTACCTAGTTGTACTTTTATGAGATTATATGCATGAATTTAATGAAAATCTGAAGTCGCTGCTTAAATTATACCAATTTATAACACATTTAAGCAGATATTTCGAACTCAAAACTCGGATTGTCCCACCTGTTGATTTAGATGTTTGTAAAAACTAAAACTAGAGATTTCGATAAAATCAATTTCAATGGACAATATACTATAGGACGAGGTCAAGATGGACGATTGTTCGTACTATGAACCTTAAATTAAACTCTAATGTGTTATCATTTCCCTTGTTTTTTAAAATATGGGTAGACTTTTGAGTATCACTGTTGAAATTATTAAGTGTCGACGGCGGTTAAGTCTGGACTGTACTGTAGACTAAATGTAGTGTGGTGCATGCATGGTGTTGCTCATGGTTGGTTGTCACTCACTAGACTACTATTCATTTTATTTTAAACTAGAGAGTTTAGACTAAGCTAAGTAAGAGTTTAGCCACCTTGACAATTCCACAAATTTTTGTTCCCCCATATACGCCATACTTGAATATTGTTCACGCCATTAATATTCACGCAGTGTTATAAGACCCTCTTTGCCGTCACTTTTTCTTTCCTGTTTTCCTAATTAGTTTTCTGTGCCGTTGAATGCACATGGGTAAACAATGCGCACGTAATGTGAAAACTGCGGGAAGTATCCGCAGCCGATGCACAAATTATGAGCAATTTATTCGTAAA